ACCTCTGGGGGAAACCTTGGCGAATAAATACTGTGTGTGAGCTTGAAAGTGACTCAGCTCTTGGGAGCTGCCTGCCCAGCTCCCCAGGCTCCTATCTCCCCCATGTGTTAGGATAGAGCGAGGCCTGTAGTAGCCAGGAGAACGGGCCTTGAGCTTGGCTCTTCTCTGCCCTTTTTCTTACCCAGAAAATAATACCACCTACCTTGTGCTATTTTTATTAAGATAGACAATATCAAGTGTATGGCATATCTAACAAAATGCCAGGGAACATGCTAAGAATTCAGAAAACGGCCTGAAGCCACCTCTGCCTGTTCTGCCTTAGAGTTGGTAATTTAGAAATCATCACTGTTGGTGGTTCTGTGGTTAATTGGGGTTTCTAGGACTGTATTTTAGTTTTGCATAGGTATTTATAAATCTGATTTGACTTCTTGTGTGGGTAATGTTTAAGATCCTCTGAACTTTGATTTTCTTAGGAAATAGAAGTCTTATTCTGCAACAGTAGAAATCTTATTTTGCCTCAATAAAACAAGGTATAATTTTGCCAATTGGATTTCTGTTAAAATCCACAGTGTTCCTATAAATTTTGGTTTTAAACAGCTCTGTTGGCCTTCTAGAGCTGCCATAACAAAATACCACAGACTGGGTGGCTTAAACCAACATTTATTTGCTCCCTGTTCTGGAGGCTGGAAGTACACAGTCCAGGTGCTGCTGGCAAGGTTGGTTGCTCCTGAGGCCCCTCTCCTTGTCTTGCAGACGGCCTACTTCTCCCTGTGTCCTCACATGGAGCATTCCTGGGGTCTCTTCCTCCTCCTCTTCTTCTTCAATTTATTTATTTTTTAGAGAGTGCGTCAGGGGTAGGGGCAGAGGGAGAGGGAGAGAGAAAATCTAAGCAGACTCCACGCTGAGCACAGACCCCAACTCGGGACTCTATCTCACCACCGGGAGACCATGACCTGAGCCGAAACCAAGGAAACCAAGAGTCAGATGCTAACCAACTGCGCCACCCAGGTGCCCATTTCCTCTTCTTAAAAGGGCACTAAGTCCTCTCAGATCCGGGCGCCACCTTATGACCTCATTTAACCTTAATTACTCCTTCAAGGCCCTGTCTCCAAATATGGTCATATTGGGTGTTAGAGCTTCAGCAGATGGGTTTTTGGGGAGGACACACTTCAGTCCATGACAGTAGCTCTCCTCTGTCTTGGTTTTGGAAGGCCCACAGCAGAAACAGTGAGAATAGTGCTATGCTGGTAATCTGTAGCCTTTTTATCATTCCACCCCTTCAATGGGTGACATGTTTTCCTGTTCTTATTTTCTCTTTATGTTTCTCACCACTTGTATGTCCGTAATATGGTGGCTTTCCAACGTTTTTTGAGCATGACCCACAGACAGAAAAATATTTATGTGTGTGTGCTTACCTCTAACAAATATTGTACAAGTCAGTGGTTGACCTTATAAAGTGCTATTTTTATTAAAAATAAATGTGTCTTCTCTTTTTCATTTTTTAAAAAGCTGTCTTCTGATGGGCTACTTCATGTAATTTGGGAAACCTGGTTACAGCTTAGGTTTAGAACTTTGGTGTGTGAGATCTGTTGAGTGCCTTTCCTTTTTGTCCTTTGGGGCTGAGGACATGCAGTTGGTTTGCACTGATTTACGGTATTTTGGAAGCCTATCATAAGACTTCCCTGCAGAGGAAATTATAGTTTGGAAAATTTCCTTGCCATTTGGCAACTTTTGTAGGAAATGGAAGATGGTAGGGTGGAAAAGTTTCATCATATTGATTGTCTTGGCTGGGAGAGACGTAACAGCTATGTCTTATATTCAGGAACGGGGCAGATTGTAATGAAATCTAACTGGCTCAGTGACAGATTTTTATATGTGTGCCTATTTTCTCTCTCAAGGTGTAGGCTTGGTTTTGTTTTAGAATTACCTTTCCCTGACCTAAGGTCCTCCCCATAAGTAGAAGAATCTTTTAAAGAATAAAAGCCTTAATTTTTGATGGCTTTGTTTCAAGTCTTCATTCCATGTGATAGACTGTGTTGGGGCTTGTTTATAGTTTTATTCGTGGTATCTGTGGTTATCAGATGAAGATGACCTACATGTTTAGCTGCTAACAATGAACTGTGCTGGCCCTGTGAGCTTTAATAGGATAGATGAAAACCTGTTTCATGTCATCCAGAAAGATGCACTCAGGAAATTGGAATTGCTCTAAGTACAAACACAAAATGACTTTTTTTTTTTTTTTTAGCATCAAGCCATAGAAAGTAACAGACCTAAGGATTATGTAAATGTTACTTTGAAATTGAAATGCAGCTTATTACGGGAGGACCCCAGGGTACTTCAAGGTTGTAGAGAATGAGTTCATACCCTGCTTTTGCCTTTCCTTCAATACATATGACCTTGGAGAAGTGTTTGAGCCTCCATTTCCTCATTCAGAAGTCTTCATTACACAGCAGTGAGCTAGTCCCTGTAATAGAAAGTTTACAAAGGTGAGTCTTCTCCCTTCTCTTGTTCTTCCTCATTCTGCCAAGTTTTTTTTTTGTTTGTTTTTTAAATAAATTAGGAAGTCATGAAAACCTACTCAAGGGGCGCTTGGGTGACTCAGTCAGTTGAGTGTCCGACTCTTGATTTCGGCTCAGGTCATGGTCTCGGTCGTGGGGTTGTGGGATTGAGCCCTGTGGAGGCTCCATGCTCAGCGGGGAGTTTGCTTCAGGTTCTCCCTCTCCCCCCCTCTCTCTGCTTTCTGTCTCTCAAATAAATAAATAAATCTTTAAAAAAACTCAAAAAGTTGGATGACCAGTGAGGATAATTTTTCCCATTCATTCTTTGCCTTAAATAATCTGAGCAGTTGGTTTTATTCTGATAAATAATAAAATACAAAGATCTAGAAAGAGTAAACCTTAAAGAGAAGGGCAGAGGTCCAGGCATCCCTAAGGCTCCTGCACAAGTTTATTGGCTTTAGTGAAGACCCAAGGACTCTCTTGAGAGAGTGTGATATGCTGTCCGCCCACTAGGAAGACCCTATTGTTGACCCCCTCAGATATAGACGGTGTTTTTGTGACTGACACCTACACGGTTGCCGCTGGAAGACACTGAACGGCAGAGATTTAGCCAGAGCTGGGCAAACCTGACGTCTGCCTAAGGCATCTCAGCACTGAGTGTGAGGAACCAAGCAGACAGTGAGTGCCCGGGGTTGAGGTAGATGACACTTAGAAGCTTCACGAGAGTCCTGCTGTGGAGCCTGGAATAACTTGGTTTGCTTTTGCTTTAAAAGGATCTTTCCCCCTTGTAAGAGGAATGGGGAGCCTTAAGGGCCAGGGGTTTCCCGTAACCACAAGGGCCTCCTGGGTGGGAGGGGGACGGACAGTGAGAGCATCCTGACTATGCCCCCCCGCCCCGAGCTGGCTCTCCTAAACCGCATGTGGCTGCATCTCCAGTCTGTTGATCCTTAAAGAGCAAGAGTGGGGGAGGGGGCACTGCTGGACAGCTGGGCAGATGACGGATTGGTGTGGACTGAATGGTGTCTTCCTCCCCCATATTCATATATTGAAGCCTTAACCCCCAATGTGGTAGTATTTAGAGGTGGGACCTGGGGAGGTAATTAGGTTTACAGAAAGTCATGAGGGTGGGGCCCCCATGATGGGATTCCTTATAAGAAGAGGAAGAGAGACCAGATCTCTCTCTCTCTCTCTCTCACTTTTCCTTATGAAGAATTCTCTTGGATTGCTCTGATGACTCCTTCCTCACCTGTCCATTCAGAACAATAGTCCTAACACAGATGTTCTTTATTCTCACTGACCCTGAATGTACAAGTCAAGGAGTGAGTTCCCTGGCATTTTATAAGATCCCTCCATGCATCTATACTCTGCAGGGAGGAAAGCTACAAATAGCATACAGAAAGTTTGGTGTTAACAAAATGCATATCTGGCTTTTGTGTATGTGGTATGTGGTTCTCTTGACCATTATTCCTCTCACATTGGTGAGCTTATTCTGTACTGGTGTTCGGTAGCCCTTGACCTCTTGAGGTTAGAATATCTCCTTCCCATTTTGGAAATCTGGTTCTCCTAGCTGGGCATTTATCTATTCCTGTACTACATACACCTGATGCACACATCCCTTTTCTTGTCCAGGACCATGCTTGCTTCAAGGCAGGGGACTTTATTGAGCACCTGCTATATGCTGGGTCCTTCACCAGGATCTGGCACCGTCCCTGTGACAAGGTGCCCATTGTCTGATGGAGCGTACTAGGAGGCTCCTCGAGGGGAAATACTAAAATAACTAAGCTTTTTGGTAACAGTGTTGCTTAATGCTTCATTAATGGGGCGATTTCTTTTTAATTGCGTTGGAAAGAAATTAACTTACTAGACATGATTTAATGTTGTACGTTTTTAACATTTAGTATACAGCCTCTTTTTATGTATGCTCTAAAGGGATATTGTTGTAAATTATACGAAGTACAGCTTGGTAGACCTGAAAATTCCCTAGGTTGTTGCTATTGTATTTAATGATGCTTGTTGCGATTGGCAACACCCTTGGGCAATTAGCAGAGCTTTCTCAGGACGCTCTTTCCTCTGTGACCCTGGGCTGAGGTCCCTCTTGAGGGATCCCTGTTCTCACAGGGTAAACTATGTGAGACTGTTCAGAATTGGTCTGCTTTGGGGGGCTTGTTTCCCCTGGAATAGTTGCATAACTACAAATGTTCCCGTCACTTGAGTGGATGTGGTAGGAAGTACAGGCATCAGCAAGACTGATCGGATGCCCACATGCAGTCCCGGGAGTAAACTGATGGGTCCCCTGGCCCATCCATGTGGCTGTGGACAGGTGTTTGCTGTGGTGAGGGACACCATGGCTTCAAAGGAGGGTGCCTTCATTGTCCGCCGTGGCCCAGGATGTGAGAGACCAGGATGTTTTAATCACAAACACAGGTTTCATAATATCTGGAAAATGAGTTCATGTTCTAGGAGTTACTTTTAATTTCGCTCTCTTTTTCTGTTCTAACCCAGGTGCGACATTAGAGGAAATAAACCAGCATTGGGACTGGCTGGAACAAAACCTCCTACATACTTTGTCCGTCTTTGATAATAAAGATGACATTGCCAGCTTTGTCAAAGGGAAGGTAAAGGTAGGTCCTTTGATTGAAATGCTTCTCCCTATTTCCCCATCTTTCTTATTACTTCCGTGTGACATTTTGAGCACGGTAGCATTTTTGACCAGATTTGAACAATTTTCTCCACCATAACTGAACGACTTGGCTTAATACACAAATGAGCTGGACTTGTCACTTGTCAAACTTCACAGTCAGTCTGGCAAAATATACCTGAAATTGGAAAATCCACATTCTCAGGCCTCAGTTTTTGTTCTCCTTTACAGAAGTGAAGGTCCTCTCTTGTCTCGGGGGAAAAAAATGTTAACATTTATGTTTTTGCAGAGCAGAAATGGTCTTTGACTCCTTAAACTCATTATTCCCACCTTTTTGCAGTTGTGACATCTTGTCACTCTATTTTGTTGGACCTGGCACTTTCCTCTTCCTAAAGAGGCTGTTTATTCTTCAAATATGTTAATTAAATGGAATTAAGACCATTTATGTTTTGAGAAGGCATGACAGGAATATTTTGGAGGGTATCTGTTAATATCTCTGTGAGTTTCATCTTCTCTGTCGTTGCAACAACATGATTGGTACCCAGTGCTTTAAAAGCCCCATCAGGCAGGGAGAGACTGTTTCTCATTCTGATTTTAACCCTTATTATTAAACACTTTAAGGCATTAGCCTCTAATACAGTTTTCCTCCCTGCAGGTAAAATCCCCCAAACCATTGATTTTGTTTATTTATTTATTTTTTTCTTCAAAAGTTTGCCTCAAAAATGCTTCAGCTTTTAGTAAAGGGTGTCAAAGTGAATTCTCGGTTTTAAAGGGACAAAAGAGAAGTATTCTTTTTCTTCCTCTTATGTCACCAGGTAGGAACCAAAGGTCTCCTGAGTCAGGCAGTGTGGCAGTGTTGGCTGGTGGCCTCTTGGTGTCACCTCTGGGCTATGGGGCTGGCAGGTGGACCCAGGCTGTGGTGGGGACTCATCCAGTCCGTGGGTTACCATCTCCGCCTGGTCCAACTGACTAGCTTGGTTCCCTGGGTCAGATCGCACTGGGGCTTAGCTACAGAAATGCCTATTTCATGGTTATTTTTCACCCTTACCTCCTTTCTCCTTATGGTGGTTCTTTTTTTTTTAAAGAGAGCGAATGAGAGAGAGAGAGCACGAGAGGGAAGAGGGTCAGAGGGAGAAGCAGACTCCCTGCCGAGCAGGGAGCCCGATGTGGGACTCGATCCCGGGACTCCAGGATCATGACCTGAGCTGAAGGCAGTTGCTTAACCAACTGAGCCACCCAGGTGGTTCTTTGATTTAGGGTTTCTCCTTTTAATATGGAGGAAAGAAATTCATTTCTGCTGCAGTAGCTTTAGGAAAGCTTCTGCAGAGGAGGAAGCAGCTTTTCCTCTACCCTCCTAGGTTCTCCTCCTAGGCCTGGAGATTAAACCGACAAACGTTGAATTGATAAAAAAAAAAGTTGATCAGCGCGTGCAGTGTGCATACACATGAGGGAAACGCAGTGATGAGTAACTCAGAGGGATGGTTAGAATGTGGGGCTTATACAGCATCTCAACAAAGAACAATACGTTTGTAGAGAAGGGACGAGACAAAGAGAAAGCCGTTCAGGCTTTCAGGGGTGGCCAGCTGTGGGAAAGTAAATGTGGGGAGAAATGAAGGGAAGAGAAGAAGGGTTGTTTTTGTGAGGTTTGTTATGCGCATTCCTCTCGGTGCTGGTCAGAATCTTACCCTCCTCTTCCCAGTACAGAGAAGGGAGGCACCTTCACAAATGGGTGTTCGGTGTCCTTGTTTTAGGCAAGTAGTGGGGGAGGGCGGAGAGCCTTTTTGGTGTCTCCTGTTTCTCAGTTGTCTTCAGCTGAGAGTAATCCTTATGCCGAAGTGGCGTAGTTTGGGATGGCATATTCTGATCCCCTGCACATCAAAACTCAAATGACTTTAAAAAAACAACAACAACAACAACAACAGCAGTTGCGGGGAGACTGCTGGCCTGGAGCAGGGGTGGGGATGGAGAGGTTCTTGTGGTCTGAGATGGGGTTATATCTTTGGGGCCACTATGTGGTGTAGGTTCTTCCTTTCCTCTGGGAAGATCCAAAGGAATTAGGAATTGGGGCTTTCCTAGTCATATCCTGAGCAGTTGGCCACTCTAAAGCTTTAAAGAAATCTCTGTACTTAGAGTTGTGCTCATCACCAGACCCTGCAGTCCACAGAAGTCAGGAGTCTGTGGGGCCATCATCATCGTGGGGCATCCGGAGCCAGTGCATCCTGTTCTGCTTCCGTGACTCTTTGCTGTAGAGCCTTCCTAAAATCCCCTTCACGCCTCACGGTCCAGAGCTTTATATATTAGATAAGCTTTTAAAATTATTCATCTTTCTTATAACTTTTCCATTTTATAATGTCTGGTTAAATAAAATTTGGAAAAGAAGAAAAACATAATGAAGTAAATGAAAAGCACTTGAAATTTTACCAGACTTCAGATTCATTTAATAATTCTTATTTTAATAGTAACTCCTAGGTAATTTTCTAAAAAAGTTTATACAGGTCAGGCTTTGGTAGTTGTGCCCCCAAAATGGCCTTGTCTTTTTTTTTTGAAATATTTTATTTTATTTTTTTAAAGATTTTATTTATTTATTTGAGAGAGAGAGAATGAGAGATAGAGAGCACGAGAGGGAAGAGGGTCCGAGGGAGAAGCAGACTCCCCGCCGAGCAGGGAGCCCGATGCGGGACCCGATCCCGGGACTCCAGGATCATGACCTGAGCCGAAGGCAGTCGCTTAACCAACTGAGCCACCCAGGCACCCGAAATATTTTATTTTTTAAGTAATCTCTACACCCAACTTGGGGCTCGAATTTACAACCCTGAGATCAAGTGTCACATGCTCTACTGACTGAGCCACCCAGGCATCCCCAAAATGGGCTCGTCTTACATTTTTTGGGGAGATGTTATTTATTAGAAAGAGAGACAGCAGGAGGGAGGGGCAGAGGGAGAGGGAGAAGCAGACTCCCTGCTGAGCAAGGAGCCCAACATGGGGCTCGAGCCCAGGACCCTGGGATCATGACCTGAGCCGAAGGCAGATGCTTAACTGACTGAGCCACCCAGGTGCCCCCAAAGTGGCCTTGTCTTAAGGGACGTAGCCTTTCATGAAGCACAGGAATGTGGGGAATCAGAATTCTGACCTTGTCAATGAGTTGTCGCCCCTCAGGAAGAAACCACAGGCTTATGTTCTAGGCACTTTTACAGCCTTACCCTGGATTTAGAAAGGATCCTTACTGTTAACTTGTTGTTGGCAAAACCGTTGTACGTTGAGACGCTTTCTTTTCTGTCTTGTCTCCCTGTGCACCTGAGTGCTTTGGACGTATTTATGACCTCGGCCAACAAACTTCTTTTCTACCTTAGAAGACTGTAGAGTATTTAGTGGTAGTGAAAGATGTCAGTTATCAGGCACCTGTTGGCTTTGTATTAAAAGTTTTGAAAGAAATGAAGACATTTCTTAGCTTTTTAAAAAGGGGGGCACCTGGGTGGCCCAGTCAACTAAGCGTCTACTTTCAGCTTCGGTCATGATCTCGGGGTCCTGGGGTCAAGCCCTATGTCAGGCTCCCTGCTCAGTGGGGAGCCTACTTCTCCCTCTCCCTCTGCTGCTCCCTCTGCTTGTGCTCTCTCGTGCCTTCTCTTTCTCTCTCTCTCTCTCAAATAAATAAATAGGATCTTTAAAAAAAAATACACTAACTTGTAACTCAAACTTGGATAGTTCTTCAAGGTCGATACATCAGATTGACGCTTGAGGCGGTAACTTGATCATCTGTTCCTGTAGGGAGAGCTAGGAGGTATTGTACAATAGTAATTTGTTAGAAAACTCAGGCTTAGAAGTCAGTGATTTGCCCAAAGCCTCAAGGCTGGTTAGTGGCCAAGTGAGAGACTTGTTCTTAGGTTTTCCACCCTCCACCCCCCAGCTCATCTTTCCCCCAACCATGGCGGTGCTTCTGGGTGGTAGACAGATGGAGTAGCAAGCCACTCTCCTCCACCCCTGGTGTGTTTCGGTTGGCAGTGTAGACGCCTCAGGTGCCTGTGCTTGGCAGTCCCTTCCCACCTCTGCCTGCCCCTCCCCTAGTCCCTCTCACCGACGAGGGGACCCTTATCTTTCTGTGTGTCAGGCTCTGATTGCGGAGGAGACAAGCAGCAGGCTTGCCGAGCAGGAAGAAGAGCCTGAGAAGTTCCGAGAGGCCTTGGTGAAGTTCGAGGCCAGGTTCAACTTCCCGGAGGCAGAGAAGCTGGTCACCTATTACTCCTGCTGCTGTTGGAAGGGCAGGGTTCCCCGCCAAGGCTGGCTGTACCTCAGCATTAACCACCTCTGCTTCTACTCCTTCTTCCTGGGCAAAGAACGTAAGTGAGGCTCGGGCTGGCATTCGCAGATGAAGCTGACCCTTGGGATGCTCAGTGCTGTCCTGAGACACGAGGAAGAGCTAGAGAACAAAGGATTTTTTAAATGAGTAGTTGAGATGGTAATGAGTGATTCTTGATTAACTTCAAATGACGTGTGCAGACAATTATATTTCTTTATGCTACCACCACTAAGGGGCTTTGATTTGGTGAGAATTCATTTTTTCCATTGCCTTAAACATTTCTGTGTAACTTGCTTCATAGAGCTACGGAAGGTTTTTTTTACTTTATGTTGCTCTGAAAACACATTGTCAAAACTGACGCTTCTTGAGATGGGTGGGGGGCCTTTGAAAAGTTGCCAGCCCTGAAGATCATGACTGCTCCCGGAAGAGGAGCAAGATGTACAGTTGTTCCTTGGAATGGGAGGGTCCACTTGAGATTCAGGCGGTGATTAACTTTTCACACATTTATCCACTGACCATCGCCATGCGAGGTGATGGAATTCCAGACTAAGAAAGAAAAGCCATAAGTGTTGGTTGTATATTGAATTTTGAAAAAATCATTCCCACTGAAACTTCTTTTGGAACCAAATATTGTTGCAAGCACCCATGCAGGATGGCAGCTGTGTGTGTGTGTATAAAACAAGTAAATGCGTATGTATGTGTTTATATACCTAATTTTTTTTCCCTTCCTGCATTTAAGTTTATATTTCAAGTTGAACCAGTGGGAGGGGCTTCTCTGAAATTGTGCTGACACAGCTTCCTTCCAGGGCCACTGCTTCTCTTTCTCACGCTGCCGGCTTCAGGTCTGATGCTCCGGTACATACACCCTGTGTGCCCAGCCTTTCCCTACCCCTGGACGGTGCCCTGACCTAATCTTGACTATCCTTATTCTTGTACTTTCTGCGGTGCTTCTCAAAATTCATGCAGGTCTTTCCTTCCCTTCCCCATTCTTGTGCCTCTTTGGAAACTCCGGTTCACCCTTCAAAATCAGTTCAGGTTTTTATCACCTCCAGGGACTTTCCTTGGTTCCCTTAAAATTTGCACCATGTTTGTGTTTCTGTTTTAGATTTTGCCAAGTTAGTGGTTGCTTATTTTACATGTCTGTTTTCCCTATTTGAATGAGCTCCTTAAGTGCAGGGCTTTTCACAAAGTAGACGCTTGATGAAATGAAAGTTGATGTTATAGGTTGCATATGTGTTTGTATGAACAACTTACATGAAAGCAACTAGAAGTAGCTGAAGAAGCTTCTTCTCAAGCCTAATGTAGATGTGTGGCCTTTTAAGTTACTGAAGCCCTGAAAACATTATTACAACAAGTGGAAAGAAATGGTAGAAAAAGAAACACTTCAAGATCCCTTCCTTTATTTGAAAAAGAAAATGAGTTACTTTCTGACACTGTTCATTCATGGTGACGAAGCCAAATTTTGTTAGGATGTTGAGTTTTGAAAAAAAGAAATGATTTCTAGTATTTGATAACATTTATCACTTTAAGTTTTCATAGTGTCTCTTCCCCATTTGCGTTAGCAAGCGCTGGCTAGCCTCACTACCACTGTATTGGAAACATTTCCCAGAATAGAACACTTGTTTATAAAATGTACTGTTTGTACTGTATTGCTTTAAAAAGAATTCCATAGAAATTGTACTGTGTCTTCTAAGACTGTCATTTGACACAGTCTAAATGTTAAGCCTGTTTCTCTAAACGAGATCATGAATAATCCTCTTTTGCACTTTTTTTTCATAGCTTACACCATGAATGCTGCTTTTGAAACCAGAAATTAGGTAGATTGAGGAAGTTTTGCATATTTTGCAAGTATTTAAGTTTAAATATTTTTGAAGAAGTTTTCCTGTTGTTAACTTGATATTTCAGAATGCTGTCCCCTGTACGTGTGCAGTGACCAGCAAATTGGAAGATTTTATTTAAATCTTTTAAGAAAATCATGAAACATGAGTTGGGTTCTAACACGCAGCTGTCAGGCAGCTTTGTGCTTCCCCTTTCCTGCTCTGGTTTTGCATTTCAGCTTAAGGAAATCCTTGGACTCTTGTTTGCTGATACACTCAAGTTTGGCTCACATGTTAGGGTAACCTATGTATTTGCCTTTTTTTTTTTTTCCTCTTCCAGTTAAACTTGTAGTCCCTTGGGTCGATATCCAGAAGTTGGAAAGAACGTCCAACGTCTTCCTGACGGATACCATCCGAATCACCACGCAGAATAAGGAGCGCGACTTCTCCATGTTCCTGAACCTCGATGAGGTGTTCAAGATCATGGAGCAGTTGGCGGACGTGACACTCCGGAGGCTCCTGGATAATGAGGTCTTTGACCTGGACCCAGACCTGCAGGAGCCGAGCCAGATCACCAAGCGGTAAGAGCTTCTGTTTTCAGTTCCTCACCCATGGGACTGATGTGCCACCACCTTCATTTACATGTGCTTTGTTAGTCTCAGTTGTACTAGGTTTAAATTTCCCTTGTGGCATGGTGCGGATTTTCCTGTGGCGTTAATCATGGTTGTGACATAATAATTGGCAGCGGCCGGTTTTTTTTTTTTTAATAGTGAATTTTTTTTTTTTTTTTAAAGATTTCATCTATTTGTTTTAGAGCAAATGAGCTGGGGGAGGGGTGGGGGAGGCGGAGAGGGAGAGAATCTCTAGCAGACTCTGCACTGAGCGTGCACTGAGCGTGGAGCCCAGCGTGGGGCTTGATCCCATGACTCTGACATGACCTGAGGCGAAACCAAGAGTCAGATGCTCAACCTAACTGAGCCATCCAGGTGCCCTGATTGTTGATTTTTTTTTATGCAGTTGACTTTGATTTCTGGATTCAATTCTGCTTTTTTTCCAGATATTTGGAAACTGATTTTTATTAAAAATACTTCTAAGGAAATGTAATATGGATAGCTTCATGATAGAATTCCATTCAGTACTGTGCTTTATCAGTGAACATTAAGAAATTTATATTTCCATTTGAAAGTGCTTTGTAGAAAAAGTTTTCAGGACAGTGGATTTATTTTTGGTACCGGTTTATCATTAGAAATGTGCCTTAGTAATGCTCTAAGTTAACATTCTTTGTTATTGGTTTGCCCCCAGCTGATGCTAGGTGTGGAGATGTCTGGGGCAGTTGCTTGAATTATTAGTCACTTTAAAGAAGTTCAGCTTTATTATCTAAAATTTAAACGGTGGTGTTTGTCCGAGCTTGACTGTGATTCCTGACTTGGTGGTTTAGACCGGGTAACTGCAGAGTTGATACAAAGATATCCTTAGAGAAACAAGTCGTCTGTCAAGTGCTGTCTGGCTGGATAGATTTGATATCATTACAGAATCACTGCTACTATTTAGTACGACTAAAAAATTTTTTAATCTGGTAAAATACACATAACATAAAATTTGCTGCCTTAATACCACTGAATCATACAGTTAAAAATGGATAAGTACATTCACATTGTTGTGCAACCATCCCCTCCATCCAGCCCTGGGACACTTCATCTTGCAAAACTGAAACTCTGTCCCCATTAAGCAATAACTCCATTCCCTCCTCCCCCAGTCCCTGGCAACCGCCACCCTACGTTCTGTCTCTGAGTTTGACTACTCGAGGTCCCTCATGTAAGGGGACTCATACAGTATCTTTTTGTGACTCGCTTATTTCACCTAGTGTCATGTCCTTAAGGTTCATCCATGTTGTAGCAGGTGCCAGAATTTCCTTCCTCTTTAAGGCTAGGTAATAAAATAGTCCATTGCATGGATATACCACATTTTCTTTATCCGTCATGCATCTATGGACACAAAGCTGTTTGTACCTTTTGGCATTTGTATCTGATGTTGCTATGAGCATGTGTGTGCAAATATCTTTTCGAGTCCCTGCTTTCATATCTTTTGGGCATATACCCAGAAGTGGAATTGCGAGATCGTGTGGTAGTTCTGTGTCGTTCTATGTCCAGTCATTAAAAACATTTTTTAAATCTATTCTAACATTCCTGTTACTCCTTACACACGTTCGCTATTTTCTCGGAACATCTGGGAGAACATGTGTCTAATTAGTGGTCTCTAAATGGCAGCGTGTTTGTAGTTGGCGTGTGCTCAGCAAGAATTTAGAGCCCCTGCTGTGTGCATGCGTTGGTAATTTGATCGTGTATCACCCCAAGTAAGGCAAAAATCAAAAAGTGAACTTCTTTGGTGAAACTCCAGTGAATTTCACTTGGTTTTGTGTCCTCATCATCGGACAGTCCCTTTGTGAGAGGGGATGGTGCTGCTTGTCACTCCCTTAAGAAAGGCGAGCCTTGGGGCTGCTGCCCTTGGGTCTTCTCACTCCCCATCCTGAGCTCCTCCCTGTGCCTTCTGACCCCGGATTTCCAGTTAGCATCTCTGGCGCTGTCGTAGGTCCAGAGAAGACAACCCAGCACAACGGCAGCCCCACTCTCCCATATATCTTCAGATAACTCTCTGGTGGTTCGGTGTCTGAGTCCTTTTAGTCCAGCTTACAAAGATTGGTTAAAAATGAAGATACGAGTCTCGGTTGCAGGAGTTGTTAAAGGGCTCCTATAAATCACCCTCCCTCTCTTCTGCAGGTTTTGCATCGATGTGTGTGAATTGCAGCCAGGGTCTTAGGACTAGGAGGCCGGCCGATGGCCTGCATGCTCCGGTCAGCTCCATGGGCATTGGGATTTCAGGTGATTTCTCACGGATCTCCTGATGTTCCTTCATGGCTCCACTTCTAGATGTAGCATTGTGGTTTGGGGTAGAAACTGGGAAAGAAGAGGCTGATGGCAGGTTTGTCGCACTTAAGACCCTTTGGTAAAATCATTCATTTTGGAAGAAAATTCATCAGCACAGGCAGTCTTCATGCACATTCCAGAATTCAGGTGAATTACACGAGGCTCCCCCTCTTCCCCTTTCTGTCCTGGAAACCATTGGGAAGAAGGGAGAGAAAAAGACAAAACGGGGCCCCAGTGGTGGCCGGGGTGGCGCTGCTGGGACCCCACAGGTGCCTTGGGCTGGCCCTGAGATGGACGGCAGGATTCTGGTCCGTGGTGTGTTTTGCTGGTCTCTGCACGTTGAGTGACTTCTTCCAAAAGTGAAAGGCACGTCCTTGCCTACCAGGTCCTCGCTGGGTCTCCTGTGTAGCTTTCTGTCATGGGGACATAGGCCTGTGGACATAAACAGGTAGTGACTCAGTCAACTTGACATCCTGCCAAGAGAGCCCAGGTTTTCAAGTTGAGGAAAACAGTCTCTTGATGCAAAGGGCACAATCAGAAGTGCTGGAATGCTCCTCAGGCTCCCTTTTGTTGGTGTATTTTCACTTCCCTTCCCAGATAACAGCTTTAGAAAGGTGCCCTTGGGGTCACTAGTGTGGTGAGCCATCTGATTATGAATTAGTCATGATTGCTGCTCATGCTCACTCCCATGGGACTTCGGGACAGAGCCCAGCGAGGCTGGGACTCCAGCGGGAGCCGGGAGGATGGGATGGGGCATTGCACAGGAGGACCCAGTCAGACAAGGTAGAGCTGGCCGGCCCCGGGGAGTCCTCTGGCCCAGCCCTCACACTTCACAGAGGAGGGCCTGGACTAGGGATTCTGGGGTATGGTAACAGAATCCAGGAGGGCGGGGAAACGGAGACTGAGGAAGGGCCTTCTGGGGGCTGGGGAGCAAATAAATGGACTGGTCCTGAAACTTACAAACAAAATAACACTTGTAAAGTGAGTGGTAGGTTGAGAACTGTGTAGCCAGCTATTTGGCGAGGGGGCGGTGGGAGATTGGGGAGGTGCTGGGTTTCACCAGATCAAAATTAATATCTTCATTAAAATCTGTATTGACTGATTGGAAAGTGCTGGAGGAAAACTCAGTTAATGCAGTATAGTGAATGGAGGCTCTTTCCCCTGGTGGGAGGTTTTTCTGTGGTATCCAAAGGTAGGCAGTGGCTGCCAGGGTGGGGGTGGGGGCTGATGTCTTCAGAATAAGCCCTCATCCCCTGTTGCCTGGCTGATTCTTAGCTCCCTAGTCTGACTTTTCAGACCTTCTTTGGCCTTTTCTGCCCAGATTCGCTCCCTTTCCTGCTGTTCTCCTTGTGCCCCTACTAAGAATGCCCAGCCTAGCTCTGTAATTTATTCGACTTTCTGTCCCTGTGATTCTGGTTCGGAGTCACCATCTCTTAGGGGCTCCTCGTGCAGCCCCGAACAGTTCCTGCCTCACCTGGGAAGGCCTGCGGCTCCCCACCCTGCAGAGCCCTAGCTGCTCTGTACTTCTCCAGGCTGTTCTGGAGCAGGATGGGAGGGCAGAGGGTGAAGGCAGGAGCCTTGAGTGTGAAAAAGCCTTCTAGATGCCAGTGTTATTGAGGTCTTGGTCTGCTGGAGCTCCGAGGATGGATTTTCAAAGAAATGGGGGCACTGCGGACCCCAGCTGAGTCCATCTGCAGCCTGTTGTCTGCTGTCCGAGGGCTGGGTTTCCTTCATGCCCCCACTGTGTGCAGGGGACCCAGGCTGCTGTGTGCTCTGTGTAAGATGCTTCATAACAAGGTTGTCCTTCTATTTCCTTAGTGCTCTTGGGGGAAGGTAGAGGAAAGGTGTTTCTCGTAAACACACATTCGAGGGATGCCATTGTTGTATGTGCACACTTTTGGGCTTTGAGGAAAAGTATGCGTATCTGGTCTTTCTGCCTTGTTTCTTTTCTTTTTTTTTTTTTTTTTTAAAGATTTTATTTATTTATTTGACAGAGAGAGAGATAGGAGAGAGGGAACACAAGCAGGGGGTAGTGGGAGAGGGAGAAGCAGGCTTCCCGCGGAGCAGGGAGCCCGACGTGGGGCTCGATCCCAGGACCCTGGGATCATGACCTGAGCTGAAGGCAGACGCTTAACGACAGAGCCACTCAGGCGCCCCTTTCTGCCTAGTTTCTGCATTGCTGTTTCAAATGAGTTGGGCGTGGGTCTGTGGGTGGGTGTGTAACTAAGAGTCTTTAGAAATCTTTATACGTATCTTTATGGGGCAAACTGCCTGCAGAGGACCAAGTTATTCCGGAAGGGCAGGGATGGTACTTGAGGCCTCCTGTCTAGGGCACAGGGGGGACTTCCTCACACCCGGCGCTAATGCGGGAGCCCACCTGCCCCAGTCTGCCACACGGCCTGAGTTTGGGGAAGCACTTGGCCTTGAGCAGCTTTGAGCTGCTGACACACAGGTTTGTGTACGTGGGATGAGTGACACGAAGGAGGGAGAGTTACCATGGCACGTAAGGCCTGACACGGGTCTTTTCAAAAGCATTCTAACAGGTTGTTGGGGAAAAGAGAGAGGGAAACCTGTTCTTGATACGTTTGTGCCAAAACTAGGAGGAGAAAATAGAATTCTAGGTTTGCAGAGAAACAAAAGAACAACCCACCCTTTCGTTTCTTCAGTCTAAGGTCTAAGGAATGAAGTGTGGAATTTTAAATGTGGGCATGTAGGTTAGAATTGTCCACATTGTTGTCATGCAGGATTGCATGTGTTAATTGCAGCTCTGCGAACAAACTTGGTGTTCTTGCTCCGTATTCTGACGAACCCACATTTATATCCTATGTGGCTACAGGCTCATACAATGGCATGTGTTAAGACAGGAGGGTTTGGGGCACCGTCCCTTCTATTTTCAGCTGTCGCTTTCTCTTGGAGCAATTGCTTTGGCCAGTGCATACCAGCAAGATGGACAATGGGTGGTAAATATTGTGGGGGCTGCCGGGCTAGTTTTCATCTTTATAGGGGCGCTTCTGCCCTGGGTTACAGGCCTGTGCTCGGCTACTGCTTTCTGAATGGTCGGTTGTGGCTCATGTCTGTTGGGCATCTCTATGGAGGAAGAGGGGGAGCATTTAGTAAGTACTGGAAGGTTTGAAAGGCAAATTGTGACCAGTGGGCTTTGTTTCTTGTGCTCTTTGGAAAGAGGAGCTGGTATTTTTAGCATCAAAACTACCACCTGCTTCGAAACAGACCTAAAGGATGAAGTGGTCTTATTCTGAGCTTCATAAAGGGCTTGAGCTACTCTTCTCTCAAGCTACTACTGGATCTTCATCTCCATCTGTTAGGAGGTTAAATGCCACATATATAGGTATGCAGATTTAGAGGCAGAATTGGAAGAGGACTTTCTAAGGAAGGAAGATGATTTAGGAAAGTCCTTCCTGCTGCCTTTTTTTTTTTTTTTAAGATTTATTTATTTCAGAGAGAGTGTGTGCAAGCATGTGGGGGGAGGGGTAGAGGGAGGAGAGAATCCTGAAGCAGACACCTTGCTGAGTATGGAGCCCAACAAGGAGCTCGATCCCAGGACCCTGAGATCATGACCTGAGCCGAAACCAAGAGTCAGCAGTTTAACCAACTGAGCCACCCAGGTGCCCCCCTCCTTTCTGTCTTTGTCTTATAACATGAGGTCACTGGTCTGTGACTGCTGAATGTGTGAGAGATACACCCTGACGGTGACAGAGAACAGCCCAGAAAGGAGAGTGGAGATGTTGTGCTCAGAAGCCATGGAGAATGGGGTTGAACTGAGTGGTTGGCTCGTATAGCAGGTGCACCGAACAGAAAAATCATATAACTGAGGGCCTTATTCTTAAATTGAAGAGCTGGCTGCAAAAATACCAAAAGTCCTTCCACCCCCCTCCCCTCACCCCCGTGCTTCTAGGAGGGACCAGACAACAGTTGAATTCAGTGGCGGCTGGACCCACATCTGTGAGATATGTACAGGTAGGCTGTGTTGGCTTTCACCAAAGCCAGCACGGCCAGCCTACTTTCAGGACAAGGATATAAATCCTCCAACGTAAACAATGCTGAAAATAGGTCTGCTTTCAGGGAAGTGGGGTGATCTCGAGGGGCCTTGCCTTCCATCCTGTAGTACATGAATTTCTAGAGCATTCACGGTGCTTTCCCACGTTCTCCCAGCTCCTCTGGGGAGGAAGCGCAGGCTCCTTTGGAAATAGCCATCCATGGAATATCAGGTGCTGCAGCTTTGGCCCGCAGTAACCGGACCCATCTTGATCTGTAGAATTTGTTTTATTTCTTGCTGTGCCCAGAGGACTTTCTGAACATGCATGTATCTGTCTTTGTGAGGGTTTGATAGTAAATTCCAGGCACTCCCCCATCTCCGGGTGGGGTCTCCTGGGAAGACAGTTGTGTGATGGTGTGAAAACGAGGACTGGGTTGGAAATGGGAAGCAGGGCAGGAGGGGCCTCTGTGTACGAGCCTCCCCCCTGTGCGAGGGGGGGATGTGTCTGAAAGATCACTCAGACTGGGGCGTTTAAAATTTATGCAACATTTTAAAAGTTACTCTTTTCCTAAAAGAAAATAGCTTCATTTTTGAAAAAGCTAACAATACGTGGTCAGGCAGAAAATTTAAGCAGAATAAAAATGACAGGTGGAAATCCTACTACACAGAGTCAACTACTATTAACATTTTATGCAAAATCTTTTTACATATCATTTTCTGCAAATTTTATAGAATTTATATAAATGGGATCATACTATACATGCTATTTCTTTTTTTTTTTTAAATGTTTTATTATTCATGAGAGTCAGAGAGAGGCAGAGGGAGAAGCAGGCTTCCCACCGAGCAGGGAGCCCAATGCGGGACTCGATCCCAGGACCCTGGGATCACGACCCGAGCCGAAGGCAGACGCTTAACCATCTGAGCCACCCAGGCGCCCCCATGCTATTTCTAACCTGTTTTTTCAATATTGTGGACATCATATGTTTTCAGGGATCCCTTGAAGCAGAAAGGTTAGGTATTGTTTCCATTTTACAGATGTCAAGATGTGATATGGACAAGTGTTATCTAAGGTCCCCCAGCTAACAAGAAAGCTAAGAGTTCATATTCCTTACTTTGAGCTCAGTGCTAATTGTCTCAGATAAATTTAAAGAGCTCTTATTTGGTGTGGCAAAGAAAAATTTTTATCTCTGTACGGTGGAATTTCCCCTCTACTAGAATTTTGGCGTATGACATAAATTCATCAGTATTTGCAAACATTGTGATTTGGCTGCCTTCTTGCTTTACTGGATGTTAGAGCCAAGACCCAGGGTATGGAGGGGGGGGTCCCCCAGGGTACAATTTCTCCCCCATTCTCCACTGTCCATGCTGATGTGACACTGATGGGCTTCTCTCCAGTGATACTTTTACTTGGATTTTTTATTTTTTGAGAGAGCGAGCGAACTGGGGGAGGGGCAGAGGGAGAAGGAGAGAAAGAATCTTAAGCAGGCTCCACGCCCAGTGCAGAGCCTGACGTGGGGCTTGCTGTCATGACCCTGAGATCGTGACCTGAGCTGAAATCAAGAGTCAGATGCTTAACCGACTGAGCCAGCCAGATCCCGCTTGGATTTGTTTTTTAAAGGTAATAATAGCTAATGTTCATTCAGCACTTAACTGTATGCCCAGCACAGATCTCACTTTAACTGCTTTTTTGAGCTGTCATTCATGTACCATACAATTCACCCTGTTAAAGCATCCCAATCAGTGGTTTTTCAATCCAGAGAGTTGTGCAACCATCATCACACTCGGTTTAGAACATTTTCTTCACCCCAAGAAGGAACCCCAGACTCATGAGCAGTCACTCCCCACTTCTCCCTTACCCCTGCTCTATGTAATCACTAAGCTATTTTCTGTCTTTATGAGTTTTGCCTAGTCTGGAAATTTCATATAAAGGGAATCAGGCGGTACGCGGTCTTTTATATCTGTAACGCTTTCGAGGTCCGCCCATGATGTAGCTTGTGTCAGTGTTTCGTGTGGCCGGGTGATCTTCTGTTGTGCGGCTCTGTCCCATTTTGTTGATCCGTTGATCAGCGGATGGACGTTTGGGTTGTTGCCAGCTCTACTGCTCTGAACAGGTTTTTGAGCAGATGTTCATTTTCGGTTCTCTGGGGTCTACGCCTAGGAGGGGAATTGCAGGGTCATATGGTAAGTCCATGTTGAAACTTTTGAGAAACAGCTAGACTGTTTTCCAGACCGGCCGCACCATTTTACATTCCCACCCGCCGTGTATGAGGGTTTCCGTTTCTCCACGTCCTCGCCGGCACTTGGTGTTACGGACTTTTTGATACTGGATCCTTAAACCATTGTTTGATGGTGATTCACAGTGTTGCTCAAACCAGGAAGGAGTATCTGTTTTGGTCTGTGAGTTTGTTGTCTTACTTTTGCGCAGAGGCGACCCCTTCTGCCTTGAGTACCCGTTCCCTCCAAGGTTGGCTGTGAAGTGGGCTGCGTGCTTGGGACCCACGCCCGGAGGGGCTCATCCATTTTCACATCCGGCTTCACAGGGTTTTCTTTGTATACCCATGCGTTCGTTCACCGTTCCTGCCTCTTTGTCTTCTCTCGCCCCGCTCCGCCAGGGATCTGGAAGCCAGAGCACAGAACGAGTTCTTCCGGGCGTTCTTCAGGCTGCCGAGGCGCGAGAGGCTGCACGCCGTGGTGGGCTGCTCCCTGTGGACGCCTTTCAGCCGCTGTCACACCATGGGGCGGATGTTCGCCTCCGACCGCTACGTCTGCTTCGCCAGCAAGGAGGACGGCTGCTGCAATGTCATCCTCCCACTCAGAGAGGTAGGCGTAGCCCCGGCCAGCGCCTCCGGAGCCCGCCTTTTGTCCTTGAGCCCGTGGTGGCCGGGTCACCGGCTGGGGCAGGGCTGCTTGCCGAGCGGGGCTTTGCCGGCTGCGGATGGGCCTCTGCGGAGAAGCGCGGCCTGCGTTTGACCAGTCCCCATGTGCTTGTTGCTTTTTCTGTCGTTGCTCCAACAGCCTGAAATGTGCCTGGAAGTGATTGGTGAGAAGCAAGCACTCTCACCTCCCTGCCTAGCAGTTAAAGCTTTTCCAACAGCTCGTAGGAAGGATTCTACCCCTTGCACTCAACGGGAAAGAAAAAAGGCAACCGACAAAAAGCATCACCTTTTGCCAATGTCAGATTGCTTGGCCTTTGTACCCTCCTGGGACTTGAGTGAAACATTTAAAAAATGTTTCCTTTAATGTGGATCCAGGTCCCTTCCCTTCCTGCTGTAAAATTCTGCAGTCTGTCCCTGGAAACGCAGGGCAACCTGAGGCTACTTCCAGATCTGCCATCCTCAGTCCTTTGGTTTCAGGGCATGTCTGTGGTGACCATACCCACCCCTCTGTTTCCCATCAGGACCTCCAAATTCTGAGCGCTGTTCTTTGGGAAAACTCAGAATTTTTCATCTATGTGATCTCCCTCCATGTCATTTTCTAGATGTTTTCATTTTGCAAATATTCTTACTTAGGGGTGGAGCAAGGAATCCAAGAGTTGTCCTGTACACTTCTCTTATTGTTGTAACATATATGTAACATCACATTTCCCACTTCACCCACTTTTGTGTTACGGTTCAGTAGTGTTAAGTACATTCACAGTATCATCCTACCATCACCAGAACTTCCTCGTCTTCCCCGACTGAAACTCTGTTCCCATTAAGCACTCACTCCGCATCCTCTCTCTCCAGCCCCGGGCAACCACCACTCTACCTTCTGTCTCCGAATCGCACTACTCGAGGTCCCTCATCTAAGTGGGATCATAGAGTATTTGCCCATCTGTGGCTGGCTGGCTTCACTGAGCATGATGTCCTCCAGGTTCATCCATGTTGTAGCACGTGTCAGAATTTCTCTCCTTTTCAAGGCTGAGTCACGTTCGGTTTGTGGATAGATCACATTTTGTCCCTCCGCTCCCCTGTCGATGGGTACCAGAGTTACTTTCACCTTTCAGCTATCATGAATAGGCTGCCTTAGATAATTTTTAACTTCTGTATCCATTCCTTAGGGCAGTTGTTTGGTTTTGCCTTCTTTCTGGTGGTATTTTCCTAAATAGGTAATTGAAATGCCTGCCCTCCGTTGTCTGTTGCTGGATCTTTTGTGTGTAACTTTTTGCAATAGGTGGTGAGCATTGAGAAGATGGAGGACACAAGTCTGCTCCCTAATCCCATCATCATCAGCATCAGGAGCAAGATGGCCTTCCAGTTCATTGAGCTAAAGGACAGAGATAACTTGGTGGAGAGCCTGCTCATGAGGCTGAAGCAGGTGCACGCCAACCACCCCGTGCATTATGACACCTCACGAGATGAAGACATGGTATGAAGCTTGGAAACAGCAGGATCCTATAAAGTGAAGATCTCTTTTCTCACCCCTTCTAGGGCAGTGGTCTCTAAAGGGAGTGCACATAACCACAGTCCACTTGGAAATGAAAGTACTGTGTTAGAGATGATTGGGCCTATGTATGAGACAGTGTATCACTTCTGATACTCGGGGGTTCCTGAGTGGGTGCTACACAGGTTAGAGGGTGGCCCACGCAGTGAGTGGTTTGAGGGGCTAACAGGGTACCCTGCTCACAGGTTAGAGGGGTTCCTGGGGCACGCCACACCAGAGGTTAGGGGAACTGATGGGCGCCCTTCCATATGTTAGGTTGCTGGGGTACCCACACACATCAGAGGGATTGACAGGGCACCCCTCCCAGGCTGGAGGGCTTGATGGGTATTGACCTGCAGGTTAGCGGACACCTTCCTCATAGGTTGGAGACCCCTGAGGTTGAGGGGATGTTATTTGGGGGCAGATGGAACTTGTTAAAAGAGAAGTTACATTGTCCTACATTGGACAGCTGGAAAACAGACCCGGATCCGCTGGGGCCTCCTCTCCTGCTGTTTCACACCCGTCCCTCTCTTTCATCACCTCTTTTTTTTTTTTTTTTAAAGACTTTATTTATTTATTTGACAGAGACACAGCGAGAGAGGGAACACAAGCAGGGGGAGTGGGAGAGGGAGAAGCAGGCTCTCTGCTGAGCAGGGAACCCGATGCGGGGCTCGATCCCAGGACCCTGGGATCATGACCTGAGCCGAAGGCAGTCGCTTAACAACTGAGCCCCCCCGGCGCCCTTCTTCACCTCTTTTTACCAGTGCGGTGACAGGGAGGAAAGGACATAGTTTCTTAGTACCCGAGAACTGTTTTCTGAAGATGGTCATCTTCAGTTCTGGAAGCATACAAGAAATGGTTCTTGTCTGCCCCCGTCTTGGCCCCATACCCTGTATGCTGTGAGCAGCCTTTCCAGGAAAGCACAGTGTGGACCATATTCTTTCCTGAGGATCAAATCTGTTGGGGCTAATGTTAGTCTGTGTTCCTTGAGTCCTACACAGGCATGTTTAAGTATGTTACCTTCGTGGCGCCTGGGTGGCTCAGTTGGTTAAGCACTGGACTCTTGATCTCAGCTCAGGTCACAATCTCAGGGTCCTGGGATTGAGCCCCTGGTCGGACTCCACGCTCACTGGGGCGTCTGCTTGAGGATTCTCTCTCTCCCTCTCCCCCTGCTCCCTCATGCTCACACACACTCTCAAATAAATAAATAAATTAAAAAAATACATTACCTTCATGCCTCCAAAGGCAAAACAAAGACTCTTCCATAAGTAATGACTTTCTTCTAGCTACCTCCTTTTTTTTTTTTTTTTGTCTTTCCAGCAGACTTCACCTGTGTTTCATTCAACAAGCATGTGCAGTGACCACAAGTTTGGGGATCTTGAAATGGTGTCCTCTCAAAATAGCGAGGAAAATGAAAAAGAGAAGAGCCCGCGGCTCCACCCTGAGGCCCTGATCTCTGTGTTCCAGCAGGCGGGCAGTCAGAGCCCCGACTCACGAATGGTGGGTGGCCTGGCTCTGCCTTTGCCGGACCCTGGCAGAGCCGGCACGGGTGGGGGTTCCCAGCTGTCGGGCCTGCTGTGGGTCATGCACCTGCTGGCGCCGGCCTCACGGGCCTCGGGAGAGCAGGTGTAGTGCAGGTTGCTGACCGCCCCAGCAGCTAGCGCCCCTCCCTCTCCCTCCTGGGCAGTAGTGGAAGGGCCCAGCCGATGCCAGCTGCCTGGGCACGTCCGGGTGCATGGAGGATGTGATCAGATGACGGAGGCCAACGGCTTTCCCTACCTGCCCCTTAAGTGGCACTTGGACACAGCTCTTGGCCATGTGACCTGGAGAGCATCAGTGCTGTCCTTTGTGGGTTCTTGCAGGTGCAGAACAAGTGTTTCCCTTCTTACCCAGGGGTGTCTGTATGGGCTCCTTTTACAGTATTGCTTGGTTCTGTCCTGGAACAAAAGGTCTCCTGTACTGTAGTTTTACCGGACAAAAGATATTTCTGTTACATCTACTTAGCCTTGTCCTCTTTATAGGGAGAATCCGAGGGAAATGTCATGCACAGTGGGGTAAAGAGGCTAGAAATTGTACTCTGGAAAGACACCGTGGCTGGAGGGAGGCTGTGTTGGGACCACGTGTGCCGGGGGTGTCTATGGACATTACTACCCCAAGCTGTGCCTTGTCACCTAGTTGGCTACCGTATAATTGTTAGCTTTATTCATTCAAAACGGAACCTTCTGATAATGCTTTACACAGAGCAGCTCAGTGAACTCCTGACTAAACCTGTAAGAATATTGAGTATATATGGAAGTTTCTCCCCTTACTGGAGAATGCAGATAATGAAAAGCATATTAAACATGTTGCTTAATGGGGTGCCTGGGTGGCTCAGTTGGTTAAGCGTCTGCCTTCGGCTCAGGTCATGGTCCCAGGGTCCTGGGATCGAGTCCCGTGTCGGGCTCCCTGCTGAGAGGGGAGCCTTCTTCTCCCTCTGCCCGCCGTTCTCCCTGCTTGTGCATGCGCTCTCTCTCTGATAAGTAAATAAAATCTTTAAAAAACCCCAAAAAACATGTTGCTTAAAAGGTACTAACAACTCCTGTCATCTAGGGATAATTTTAAAGAATTTTTAGTTGCCTAGAGAAATAGTATCTATCTTGTGTCTGATAATGAGAACAGTGTGATTTTTTTCAGTCTCCAGTTTTTCCTCTGGCTGTCCCGGAGCTTAGGGCAAATTATGATCCCCCCCCCCCCGCCCCTTTGCCCTTGTCCGCCCTCTGAGCTGACCCGTGTTTCAACAGCTGGCTTGGTGTCAACATCCTGAGACGCTTCCCCACTCCCACCCCACCCTCCCAGCTGCTTTGGACTTGAGTATTTGGACAAACCTACTTTTACTATCAACTTTGCCAAGGAAATGGCATTTTATTTGCGTAAACTCTCCTGCTGGGCTCTGAACTCCAGAAGGGCTGGTACTTGGTGTTGTTACTCATCTTTACATCCTCTGTGCCTGTGAGTGTTTCAAAAATATTTGCTGAACCAGTTGCCCGTCACTGTTGGTCCCTCTGTTAACAGAGGCAGCCTCCCTCTGCGGTGGGTTGCGGATGGCTGTGGTGGAAGGCATGGAAGGGCTTCTTTGTACATTAACAGCATTTCCATCTCCAGTCCAGGGAACAGATAAAAATAAGCCTGTGGAATGACCACTTTGTGGAATATGGCAGAACTGTGTGTATGTTCCGCACAGAGAAGATCCGGAAGCTTGTAGCCATGGGGATCCCCGAATCTTTACGTGGCAGACTCTGGCTGCTTTTCTCAGGTAGGTATTTCTGGTATTTTTAGGCCAACTGTTATTTCTGGAGCGGACACAGGAACAGAGGCCCAGATCTGAACAGCACGTATGTGCAGACAGGTCCTCTGTCTCTGGATTCTTCCTGCATCGTTGCCAGCCAAGAACTTCGGCACCCTTACTGTGTTAGCTGTGGGACCTTGGTCCAGTTGCCTGAGACCTCTGGGCTGCAGTGTCTTCCTTGGCCAGTGTGAGGCCTGGCTGAAGGCATCTCCTCTCCTTTAAAAATAACTTGGAGTGCGTATGTAGTCTTGAGAACTCTGTTAAAGAACCTCCTAGAAGTGAAGTGTCTTTCTAGGACATACATTTGAACTAGACTAAACAAACAAACCCTCTGTACATTGTTCACTTGCAGTGGCGTTGAAATCAGTTCCCAGCATACTTTCCGTTGGTCCCCCCTCTGTGGAAGACGCCCGGCATCCCCAAGAGGCACCACTGCAGAGATTTCTGCCCCACTTCCTCCTCCTACACCACTTGAGCCATTCAGCGATGACCTTGTCTGGCCTCAGGCCCTAGGACTCTCCCTCTGCTGCTGTTTGGTGATGTCTGGGAATCCCTCATCAGGATGCTCTCCAATGGGTGGGCAGAGATGAGGACTGACTTCTCTAGAGACGTGTTGAGCAGTGTCTCTGCATTGAGGGTGGCCGTTTTGTCTGGCTCAGTAGGAGAGGGGGAGCCTTGCGAGCAGGAAGCGAAGGCCCATGTCGTCCAGTGGGGTGGCTTTGCTACTCTGGTCAGGGTGCAGCTGGAGGCCCAGGAGGGGGTCCACTCTTCCTTGGTGGCCCCGTGGGCTCGGGTCAGCACGAGCCTCCTGGTGGCCAGGCCTGGGTACCTGTCTTCTCCCTGCACCCTTCTTTTTTCTTTTTTAAAGATTTTATTTATTTATTTATTTGACAGAGACAGCCAGCGGGAGAGAGAGAGCACAAGCAGGGGGAGTGGGGGAGGGAGAAGCAGGCTTCCCGCTGAGCAGGGAGCCCGATGCGGGGCTCAATCCCAGGGCCCCGGGATCATGACCTGAGCTGAAGGCAGACGCTCAACCGACTGAGCCACCCAGGCGCCCCTCCCTGCACCCTTCTTATGTTCCTCCCTCATGTGGCTTCATGCCAGATCTTCACCCCAGTCATCCCTCTTCCCTCTTCTCAGTCCCTCCCCCGAATAGCCAAGCCCATCCCCTCTCTGGCCCAGGGTGCCCAGATGCATGTTTCCTGCTTTCCGACATACGTGCTGGCCTCTGCTTAGTTGGGATTCATTGATGGGTTTATCACTGCTCACCTTGTTTCACATGCGGAGTCCCTTTTGGCTGGTTTCTTCAGCAAGACAGGCCTTTTTGAAATAAAAAATGTCGTCTGTATTTTTGTATTTAATGGAAACAATGTCTACTCAGAGTTGAAAATAGGAACGAGCAGAGAATGTCACATGAGTCACCTTAACCATCTAACAGGTGACACCTGTTAATGCCACTGGGTGTATAGTCTGCCTCTTTAATGAACATACACAGACATCGTATTAAAAAAAAAAAAAAGCTAGCTCCTAAAGGGCTGTCTTTCCTTTCAAGTGATAGTGCTGACAGAAAGGTTGCTGTGGGATTTAGGCTGTCGCGTGTTGAGGGGCAGCTGTTAGTATTAAGCCTTGAGGACAAGGGAATGTCCTAGTGATTGTTTATGGGATAGGATGGGGAATCACAGCAGAAGACTGAGTTGAGGAGGGCAGTCTACTAAACCCAGTCAGAATTTAAAGACCTAGGCTGGCGATTAAAGGCGGAACTGGGCCCTTTCTGCTTGCCCTGCTCTCCTGGGACCTCCGTACGTGGGGCTGGCCTCTGTCCTGGAGCCCCGCCTACTACCAGTGCCCCTGCGGGATCACTGGCTGGAACCACAGGTGCCCTGGTGCTGGCTGACGAGGGCAAGGGATCCTCATGCGCTATCACCACCTCACCCTTGATGTCCCTTGCTTGTCAGAGGCCTGGGGGGCAGCTCGGGGGTGGGTGGACTGTGCTTGGCCGCCCTGCCTATCATGATCCCAGCCTCAGAGTTTCTTGTTGGCAGCTTGTTGGCTCCTTGATAATCGTTTGATTATGAAACACAAGTGCACCTTCTCGTGTGTTTCCCACATATGTGCTCAGTAATTTTGTGTTAATATATGAAAATTGCGTGTACGTCTGTATGTGTAGATACACACATATATCCACTCTCTCTATTACTGGAGAATACAGCTTACAAAAAGCATATTAATACAACTGTTTCTAGTATGAGCTGTTTCCTTTCTCTAAGGTTATTCTTAGAAAAGCCATGTTGTTTCATTTTTTCTTTTTTGTTTTTGGCAGAAATGAAGTCCTTTCGGTCTGTGTGTGGTCTCAAAATATTTTCTGTCCCTCCAGTAACGAGACCGCACTGAGGTCTTCCAGCAGGACAAGCCCCCTCCCCATATTGACTCTGTCCCGGTGAGATCTGCCCCCTTGAAAAATTACTTTTAAATCGTCAGATGCTGTAACCGATCTCGCCTCACATCCGGGTTACTATGGTAATCTGGTGGAGGAGTCCATGGGAAAATGTTGCCTGGTGACCGAAGAGATAGAACGGGACCTGCACCGTTCCTTACCGGAGCATCCCGCCTTCCAGAATGAAACGGGAATTGCTGCTTTGAGGAGAGTCCTGACGGCCTATGCCCACCGGAACCCCAAAATTGGGTACTGCCAGGTGAGGTGTGCAGTGGAGGAGCAGAAATCTTTGAGTCTGTGTTTTGTGTTGGTCACCCAGTCTTTGGGTTCTGTTGTTCTCAACTGTCAGGAAGCGAAGACTGTCCTGTGAAGGCTCTGTGCTTTGTCTCTTCCCTTAAAGAATGTATCGAATAAGGCCAAAGGAATCATCTTTGTATAGTCAAACAGGCTGACTCCTTGAGATTAGAAACTGTGGTGCCCGAAAAGAGCAGTGCACATGATGAGTCACTGTCCACGGCAGGACAGATTGTCTTTACTGCTCCTCCAGGCCTCCGCTGTGGGACGGCACTGAAAACGCTTCTGGGGAGCTTTATCTTTCTAGATCTCTACAGAAGTTACAGGGATTATTTTTAAAATATCAGTGCTATTTGGGGAGGAAAAAGATGTTTGGGGCCGATCCTTTTCCTTCAGGAAGCACAAGTGGAGGTAAGACGCCCTCTGAACAGTTTATTCAGGGATATGGTAAACAAGCACAGATAGAACCCAGTAAAATAAAACAGCGCTGCCCCCACCCCTCCAGTAGACGGGGTTAGAGAAGTTTCTGATACCTGAAAATAGAAGAGTTTAAACTTTGTTTTCCTGTAAAAAGCAAAATCAACGCGTGAATGTTTGTGTGTGTGTGTGTGTGTGTGTGTGTGTGTGTGTGTGTGAACATACACACAGAACAGCTGGATTTGACCTGAGCCTAAGGTGTGCACCACAGCTGACCCCAGCATTCCTAGATGGGGACAGTGACGGAATGGTGGCTGGTGGCTCAGCCTGGGGTGTCTTGTGGGGATCATGTTGATAAACATGGTCATTCCACTTGACAAGTGTCAGTGTGGTTGGGCTAGACTGGGCCTCTCATTGACAGTCTTGACTTCTGTGGACCCTTTGGGCTTGTGTGATTTTTTTTTTTTTTAAACATCACAAATATGATTTTTTTATTTGTCACCATTAAATGTCTGACTTTTAAACAGATTCTTGGACTGGTGGCTCATAGCCATCAGCTTGTTCAACTTTAGCACCGGTCTCATCCCCAGTAGCTTTTCCAGAACTACTACCTTCACCATGAAGCTCCATGAGCTTTCCCAATTCAAACTTGGGCTTCTTCAGCATTTTTACTTTTCTAACGAAGACATCATGAAGTGGATAAATAGACAAGCCTTTTCTATATCTTTTCCGATGCTGTCTGGAATCAATTTATTGACCACTTCTTTCAAGTCATTTGTTTGCACCTCTCGGGTCATGATTTCCATCATCTTTTTCCGAATTTGACGGACCTGTTGGTGCTGAGCGTAAGAGGTCTTCCGAATCTGATTATTGCATTTTTTAGTAAAACCAACACAAAATAGACGAAGCAAATAACCATCGGTAGTCTTGACATCACATGAGCTTTGATCATGGTCTGCCATTTTTTGACCATGGAGCACATTTTGTCACGGGTAAGATCCATGCCATGGAAATTAGGCAGTTTTTGCCCTGAACATCCTCAGTAATTAGCTTGAATTTTCTAAATGCAACTTCATCATTCTGCAAATCAGCAAGGCTCACTTCAAAAACCCGACCCTTGAGGCCATCAGATGCGATTTTGGTTCCTTGAGTTCTTGTGACTAATGTTTTTCCAATATTTCTTATATTGAACATAGCTGGTGCTTTCACATCATACCAATCTTTCTTAGAAAATGGATCAACCACTTTCTTCTTGGCTCCCTTTTTGCTGCCTTTCGTAAGGCGCTTATTCTTGCCGACCGCCATGGGGCTGCTCAGGGAGCCAAAAGGGCTGGGCTTGTGTGATTTTTAATGTCTGTGTGGCACGACGTGGTCTGACATTAACCATCCCCTCCTCTGTGAACCCTGAGCAGTCCATGAACATCCTGACCTCCGTTTTGCTGCTGTACGCCAAGGAGGAGGAGGCCTTCTGGTTGCTCGTTGCCGTGTGTGAGCGGATGCTGCCCGACTACTTCAACCACCGAGTCATTGGTAACCTGCCTCCTTCCTCCTCCTCTTCCTCTTCTGTGCTTGGGGAGCAGGGACAGAGCCTGGGCAAAGACATTTGTCATCAGTCCTTGTTCAGAAATCCCCTGTGCCGCTCAGCTGGTCTCTGAACAAACACTGGTTGGCTCTTGAATGTGCAGAACCAACTGGCGTAATCTCTGCACCGTTCTGGCAAAAGGGTGGACTGAGGTCACCTGAAAAAGATGTTTAGATGTTCAACAAGTTGAACAGCGAAAACCAGAGAGGTTTTTTGCTGATACTGTGGCCTGGAAAGGGAGGGTGGTGTTGCCCTCTGTACCCAAGGAGCTCAGGCAGACAGATGTCCCCTTTCCCTTGTGGAGACTCACGAGGCTGGACCTGGAGGGCAGATTTGGGACATCCCCCGCTCCCTGCCCCGGCCTTGGATACGCTGATAAATGACAAGGCCCATTGTTGCTGGCCCCGGCTCTGGGCAGACCTGTGACCCCACAGCATTCAGGCACCCACCTGGTACCTTCCTTTTCTGTGGCGGATTGGCATTTGCATTATCCCTGTGGTCCAGTCCCTCCTAGTGGACAAAATGACAGAAACATTGCTTCGGCTTGCTGATACTCTCAGACACCTTTTCTGGAGATGGCCTAAAATTCGGGCGGCAGCGGTGGGAACAGAAACAAAAGAACCAATCTGAGACAGAATTTGGCAAAAGACTGGAGGTAGGGGCAGGGCAGGAAGAAGACGCTCCCGAAGAAGATGGTGTCAAGAACTGAGGGAATGTGAGGAGCCCTGGGAGTGGGGAGGGGGGTGGCTGGGAAGGATATGGCGGTTTGTTCTAGACTGTCTTCCCTGGCTCCCTCCAGGTGCCTGAGTGACGGGCTTCCTTCCCTTTCCACTTTATGCTGTGGGAGGCAGTTTAAGCTTGCACACAGTAGCACGGAATCATCAGAGTGTCAGGGTCACCGGGAGGCAAGCTGCCAAAGCCGCCATCGGTTGATGGTGCTCCTGCGGGACAGTGTCTACTCCTCAGTGAGCAGCAGAGCCCCCTAGGTAATGTGTACACCTGTGTGAGCACCGCCCCAATACAGGCTGGAGCATTTCCATAACCCCCCCAGTTCCCTTCTGCCCCTTCCCTGCCACAGGCAACACTTGGTCCTGGGGTCTGTCACCACAGGTTAGTTGGGCCCAAGTTCTTGAATGTGGTCTCAGTATAACCACGGAGAACACACTCTTCTGTGTCTGTTTTCCTGCGCCTGACACGAGGTTGCCGAGGCATTATTAGTACTCTGCTCCTCCTTCTGGCTGAGTCACACCGTACACTCAGACCATGATTTGTTTAGAGGTCTGCGTGGTTTCCAATCTTTTATTGTTAGTGAAGTTGAGATACACGTTCATGTGTAAGTAAGTCTCTCTGTGACTCAAGATTGTCCGTGTTTTCTTGAGTATTTACCTAGGAGTAGAATTGCCAGGTCATAGGTTAGATGGATTTTAAGAAACTGTTGGTTTTTCAAAGCGGATACACTGTGGTCACAGATCTCCTACCAGTAATGTGTGAGTTCTGGTTGCTCCACATCCCTGTTAGCCTTCAGAATTGTCTTTTTAAGTTTTGTCATTCTAGCGGGGAAGAAGGGATCTATCATGGAGGTTTTACTTTGCATTTCTTTGATGAATGATGTTGAACATATTTTTCTGTGCTTCCTGGCCATTTGTTTATTGTCTCTTTTGAAGTGTCTGCTCACATCTTTTGCCTATTTAAAGAAAAAATGGGTTGTTGACCACTAAGTTGCAAGAGTTTTATTTTGAATACAAGACCCTTGTCGGGTATATGTATTATAAATATTTTCTTAGTGTGAAGTTTGCATTCCTATTTTTATTAATGTTTTTTGAGGAATACCAGTCTTTTATTTTCATGAAGTCCAATTTATAATTTTTTTCTGTGGCTAGTGCTTTTTGTGGCCTAAGAAATGTTGCCTTTTTCCTATATTTTTCTTTAGAAGCTTTATGGTATTAGCTTTTATGTTGAGGTCTATGACCCACTACAAATGTATTTTTTTGTATGATGTGAAGTAGGACTTTTGAGGTCCTCCCTGCTCCCACACAGGTGTGCACTTGATTGAGCATTATTTTTTGAAAAGACTATCCTTTCCCCACTGAATTACTCTAGTCAGTGTCAAAGATCTGTTAAGTACGAGTCCTTTTCTGGACTCAAATTCTGTTTCATTGTTCTGCTCATCTCAGAGTAGTTTCAATTTCAGGCTAACTTTAGAAAGTGTGACTCCTTCCCCAACCAAGTCTCCGTGGCCTGCCTTTTCCAGGGGCCCAGGTGGACCAGTCGGTCTTTGAGGAGCTCATCAAGGAGCACCTCCCCGAGCTGGCGGAGCACATGAACGACCTCTCAGCCCTAGCGTCCATCTCTCTCTCCTGGTTCCTGACTTTGTTCCTCAGCATTATGCCTCTGGAGAGTGCGGTGAGCGTCGTGGATTGCTTCTTCTACGATGGGATCAAAGCCATTTTCCAGCTGGGGCTGGCCGTGCTGGAAGCCAACGCCCAGGGCCTGTGCAGCAGCAAGGACGATGGCCAGGCCCTCATGGTCCTCAGCAGGTGGGTTCATGGGGGGTGGGGTGGCGGGTTGAGGAGGGCTATCACAGCCTCTGCAAAATAGACCAGGTGGAGGCAGCAGCGGGTGCCCAGCAGGGCTGTCACTGTGGAATTTTTCCTTCCACTCTGCCACTTGTCACGCCGTGGTCCCCCCCAGAGCCAGCCAGTCAGGTGGCACTGTTGCCTGCATGTGGTGAAGAGCGCCATCTTCCCAGCTCCTCTCCAGCAAGTGAGAGGGTACCGGAGGAGAGCGGGCCATCCGCGCTTGTCTCTGGGGAGATACACACTCATAGTGGCCTGGAATGGGGCAGGCAGGCACTGGGAAATGGTGGTCTCAGGCAGCCAGCGGGAGGTTTCAGACATTTGATGTGTAGGGGCTTGGTGTGTTGCAGTGCAAGAAAAGTGCCACGAGGCCAAGGACTGGAACCTGGGTCTCTTGTAGCTGAGGGCAAGTTGAAAGACAGATGAAAGTTTCCCTTTCAGAATACCGTGGAAGCTTACAATGGCACATGTATGCACAGAACTGTGTATTGACTTCACCAGAGTCCCGGGTCCCTGCAAACCTACCCATGGGGCCCAGATTAACACGTCTGGCTTTAGGCATGTCTCCTTTTCTCTCAAGGAGCACAGTAGTTGCTATCTTGCCCTCCTCCCAGTGTTTGGGGACGAATGAGCTGTGTCTGAAAGTGCTCTGACATGTCCCCTGGCCCCTGGGAAGGTAGCGGGTATGGTGCGGTGCACAGGCGAGGGGAAACCAGTGCTTCAGCGGTGGGTTGTGTGCTCAGGTTTCTAGATCACATTAAGAATGAGGACAGCCCTGGACCCCCCGTCGGCAGCCACCATGCCTTTTTCTCCGATGACCAGGAGCCCTACCCTGGGACTGACATTGCCGACCTGATCCGGGACTCCTATGAGGTAGCTGGGCCTGGCCCTATCCACCCCCCCCCCCATCCTCTGGGAAACCTGGTCAGAGATGGATGTTGAGGGACGTTCGTTTCTCTGCAGAAATTTGGAGACCAGTCTGTGGAGCAGATCGAGCACCTGCGCTGTAAGCACAGGATCAGGGTTCTCCAGGGCCACGAAGATACCACAAAGCAGAACGTAGTGAGTCATGGGTTGTCAGAATGGCAGTCGGGCGCTAACCCGGGCTCTGTTCCCGTGGGTCTCATAAGAATGCCAGCTTTTGGGGCACCTGGCTGGCATGTGACTCTTGAACCTTGGGGTCCCGAGTTTGAGCCCCACGTTGGGTGTAAAGATTACTAAAAATAAACTAAATAAACTTAAAAAAAAAAATGCCACCCCACCCCCCTGCATTGAATTAGGGTGACCTGGTGTAGAGACGGGGGTTTGAGAGATTGTGAGCAAGTTAAGCCCCGTGAGCCTCAGTTTCCCCAGTTGTAAATGAGGATACTAATACCCAGCATCTGGGATTAAATGCGGTACGATATAGAAAATGCCTGGCACAGAAGGCCTGCAGTGTTAGTTGTTCAGGAGGAACTTCCTGCCCCAGCCTCGTCTTTGCTAGAGTTTGATTTCCATTAGAACTCGCATTTGTCCCGAGGCACTGATGTGTGAATTGGCAAGGCTGAGGGTAAACACCTTGAGAAAATTACCATAAAGTGATCCTGGCATCAGAAAGGAACAGACTGCTCTGGTAGACAGGACTTGCGCCTGGCGTCCCCCATGAGCAAGAAGAGCCCCCCTGTTCCCTCTGATCCTCCCAGGTGCAGGCAGAGAATTCACTCCACTGCTGTTGGTTCTTTCCTCAAGCTCCGCGTTGTTATCCCGGAAGTCTCCATTCCTCCTGAAGACCTGGAAGAACTCTATGACTTATTCAAGGTAGGAAACTCTGGGAAGATGAGGGAGTGATAGGCCCAAGCACATGTCAGCTGCCCCACCTGCCAGCTCCGTCTTCGTCTCGCTTGCCTATGGCTCACACGAGCACTGTGCTCTGCAGAGGGCCTTCCTTCCGTGCTGGTAGCCCGTTCCGCACTGTTCTACACGGAGTTCCCAGGCCTTGGTGGATGGAACAGTGACCATTACTGACATTCTCACCTCCTATGCTTTGTGAGGACTCCTAACCCCCCATAATACATGTAGACATATTTTTATATTTGGTACATGTGCTACTTTATCTTCTGTTTTCCCTCCATACTGTTATTAACACTTTTCCATGTCGCCACATAGTCTTACTCGTTTTAAAATAGCCTTATAATCTATCAGATTGGTAATAGTAAATAAACCATATTTCTAATATTTGGCTATTTAGGTGGATTCTCAGGTCTTGCTACTTAAATCACCCAGCAAAGAAAATTTTCAGGTGCCCTGCTGGAAGCATCCTTGCTTGAAAGAGTGGATAGAAGTGGGGCAGGGAGGCAGGCACAGTGATCCGCTCCTGATAGCCTGGCAGTGAGTCCCCAGCCCTACGTGCAACTACACCAGTGGTGCGGTTTCTGTGGGGTGGGGCCCTTAGAGATGCACAAACCAACCTGTAGCCTGTATTACTAAAATGTATTTGATTTTTCAAATTTCAATTCCACTGATGATGCCTGAGAGTGCTCATTTCCTACACTCCACACCCACCCAGCTTTTATTATAGATCTTTTGCAATTTTGCTAGTCTTGTAGAAAATTGCATTTTATTTTATTTTTTTAAAGATTTTATTTATTTATTTGAGAGAGAGAGAATAAGAGATAGAGAGCACGAGAGGGAAGAGGGTCAGAGGGAGAAGCAGACTCCCTGCTGAGCAGGGAGCCCGATGTGGGACCCGATTCCGGGACTCCAGGATCATGACCTGAGCCGAAGGCAGTCGCTTAACCAACTGAGCCACCCAGGCGCCCTTGCATTTTATTTTAATTTAAATTTGTTTATCCATTAGCGAGGTTGAGTACCGTACAGATAATTGTGTACTTCTCTGTATCACCTGCTTATATCCATGGTCTTTTTTTTTTTTTTTATATCGGTTTGTTTTTCTGTAGGATTCTGTGTAAACTGATTGCATCAGTCCTTGGCTTACTTATTATAACTGTTTTCTTGGCAGGATTCTGTGGGTCTTAAGCATCACAGGATGCACAGATACACAATGGACTTTAGTAGTGTGTCTTGGGTTTTTAGGAATGGAAATTCATTAGACTGTTGTTTCACACTGAAAAGTTCTTGTGGTATTTTTCACAATTCTGCAAAGGCTATTCGAAGAACTTGGCTGCCAACAAATATGACAGTAAAATTATAAATGGCATTTTGGTTTTCATCCAAGGATCTGTGCTTACATATTACAGCCTCCATATTCATTTCCACGCCACCGTGATGGGGGGAGGACACTGAAATTGTGCAGAAGCCCGCAGTCATTGGGAATTACTTCAGTGAGCCAAGATGTCCCAAGAGGTGACTTAGCATGGGTGTAAGAGATGCGTTCTAAAGAGGCAAACCTCAGGGACAGGGCCAGTTTTGATTGCTCTAGTTGTCAGTGTATTCCCAAGACTTTGAATCACCTTTTTTTTTTTTACTTCCAGTTTTTTGAATTGTCAATATATTAATCTGGTTCAAAATTCAAAATTTATAAGAAAGTATGCAGTAAAAAGACTTGGTTCTGGGGCGCCTGGGTGGCTCAGTGGGTTAATCATCTGCCTTGAGCCCAGATCATGATCCCAGGGTCCTGGGATCGAGTCCCACATTGGGGACTGCAGGGAGTCTGCTTCTCCCTCTCCCTCTGCCTCTCCCCCTGCTCGTGCACTTGCTCTCTCTTTCATGCTCTCTCTCTCAAATAATAAAATCTTAAAAAAAAAAGAAAAAAAAAGACTTGGGTCTACATGTGAGTCCCCACCCCTACGTTCCCTCCCCACAGGCAACCAGGGCAACTGGTTTCTTCTGTATTGTGTAGATCTGTCTAGCACTTTTTCGTTTTCAGATGTGATTTGATGAGAAAATAGCAGAATAAAAATTAGGTCTCCTAGAATTAAAACTATGGCAGCTGAACTGCACATTGAAAAATGGTTAAAATGGTAAGTTTTGTTAGGTATCGTGTGCTGCAATAAAAAGATTCTAGAGAAAGAGGTCAAAATTACATATTCTTGTGGGCAACAAGTGTAAGATAACAAGGGAGATCTTTTGTCTGATTAGAGTAATGAGATTGTAAGTACTTTAATTTTTTTCATCTGTTCGTGTTATAATGTTCTTATTCAATACATAATTTACGAGGCCAAGTGAGTCCTGAGAGAAGGCCAAGTTAACCTTGGCTTTTAAGCGTGCAGCCCCCCCACAGGTGCCCCCATCTCTCACAGATCCCTCTCTCCCTCTTGTTTGAAGAGAGAACACATGATGAGCTGTTACTGGGAGCAGCCCCAGCCCATGGCCCCGCGCCACGACCCCAGCAGGCCTTATGCAGAACAGTACCGCATAGATGCCCGGCAGTTTGCGCACTTGTTTCAGCTTGTCTCGCCATGGACCTGTGGGGCCCACACGGAGATCCTTGCTGAGAGGACTTTCAGGCTCCTGGATGACAACATGGACCACCTGATCGAATTCAAGGCATTTGTGAGCTGTCTCGGTAGGACCCTCTGGGTCTTCACTGTAGTGAGTTAATTTGGGACGGGAGTCTGTGAACACAAGACAGGGTGGACCATGGAGCAAGTAGATCCACACAATGAAATGTATTAGGGACTGGCCTGAAATTAAAATCTTTCAGAAGCTTTGAGGCCAGACAAAATTCACGAGGTTATCTTGCAGCTCAAGAGTGACCTTGTATGTTTTCGTTTCAAACACTGTGTGTCTGGGGGAGGGGCAGGGAAGTATTGGGTGAACAGGTACAGACCGCACTAAGTTCTCTCCTCCCGGTGAGTTTGTGTCACAACAAATGTACTTTAACCATTTGCATCTACTCATTCTCTCTCTCTCTCTCTTTTTTTTTTTTTTGGCAGATGTTATGTATAATGGAGAAATGAATGAGAAAATCAAACTGTTATATAGACTTCACATTCCTCCAGGTAAGAAATTCTACCGGGAAAACGTAGGTTCTGTTCTGCTTTGACACAAGTTAAACTTTGTGCGTGACTCTGAAGTTGTTCTCTTTTCAAATTTCATTTAGACTTGAGTCAACAGATGTTTCCAATCTGGGGTTGCTGATAACAAATTTTCATTACTGGACTGTATAGCCTATGACAGCGGTTGCCAAACTTGAGGGTGCATCGGAATCATCTGGAGGGCTTGTTAAAACCCAGGTTCCCGGGCACCGCTCCAGAGTTTCCGGCTCCCTGGTTCTGAGGACCACGCTTTGAGAACCACTGGCCTGTGGAATGTGTGGGGAAGCAGACCCTGGTTGCCTTAATAGGTGGTTATTTAAGCCTCCTCTTTTGAAGGACGATTCCATTCGTCCAGCATGTAAGACCATGCTTCCCTCAAGTTTAAGCAGGTAACCAGGAACAAAGAAATCAGTTTTGAAACCTATGAGGTTATACTTGGCCATAACCTTAAGGTATTCCTTGGATCTTTGAAAGTCGCAGAGGTGGCTTAGTAATGCCCACATGATCTCTGGACCCCAGTGCCGTGGTTCTGGTGTTGGATGGGGCTCCTGACAGAACTTCCCAATGAGAGAGACTAGGAAGGAAGTTTTCGGGGCCATGAGATCCTGGTGGCTTTTACAACCAACACCTCTAGAAAAGTTGGAAATGCACATGGACATCATCTGTGGCTTTCTTGGTCCGCTTCCTGAATTGAGCCATTACTGCACTGGCATATAGTCTGCAAGTTTCCCCGGGGAGCTTTCTGTAGCAGCCACCTTCCTCCACCTTCCCACAGACTCTTTATTGACTGCAAATGGCTTAGCATCCATGAAGTTCTTTGCCTTTTATGCCAATATAAGTTAGTGAGTTTTTCCTTTAATTTGCCTTTATTTTTCACAAATGTTTTCCTACTAACATCGAAGACATGCATAATTATTCCTCTACTAACATCGTTGTCACTCTTCACAATCATCATCTGTGTCTGGTATTGCTAAATAGGACATGACTGATTTTATTTCATTCAATTATTTCTTCTCGATTTTTAAATAAGCATTTTATTTGGGGATAATTTTAGATTTGTAGAAAAATTGCAAAGATAGTAAAGATGGAGTTCTCATTTTTTATATATCTTCATACAGTGTTATATTAGTTTCCGGTGTACAACAGAGTGATTCCACAATTCTGTACATTACTCAGTGCTCTTAATCCCCATCACCTAGTTCACCCATCCCCCCACCTTCCCTCTGGTAACCACCAGTTTGTTTTCTGTAGTTAACAGTCTGTTTCTTGGTTTGTCTCTCTTTTTTTCCTTTGCTTGTTTGTTTCTTAAATTTCACTTATGAGTGAAATCACATGGTATTTGTCTTTCTCTGACTTATTTTGCTTAGCATTATACTCTCTAGCTCCATCCATGTTGTTGCAAATGGCCAAGATCTCATTCTTAGGGCTGAATAATATTCCACTGTATTATATATATATATGCGCCACATCTTCTTTATCCATTCATCAGTCGATGGACACTTGGGCTGCTTCCATAGTTGGGCTGTTGTAAATAATGCTGCAATAAACATAGGGGTGCATATATACCCTTTGAATTAGGGTTTTTGCATTTCTGGGGTAAATGCCCAGTAGTGCAATTACTGGATCACAGGGTAGATCTATTTTTAATTTTTTGAGGAAACTCCATACTGTTTTTCACAGTGGCTGCACCAGTGTGCATTCCCACCAACAGTGCACAAGGGTTCCTTTTTCTCCACATCCTCGCCAACACTTGTTTCTTGTGTTGTTGATTTCAGCCATTCTGATAGGTGTGAGGTGATAACTCACTGGAGTTTTGATTTGCATTTCCCTGATGATGAGTGATGTTGAGCATCTTTTCATGTGTCTGTTGGCCATCTGGATATCTTTGGAGAAATGTGTATTCATGTCTTTTGCCCATTTTTTAATTGGATTATTTTTTGGGTATTGAGTTGTGTAAGTTCTTTATATATTTTGGATATTAACCCTTTTTCAGATATGTCATTTGCAAATAACCTTCTTCCCATTCCATTGATTGCCTTTTGTTTTGCTGATTGTTTCCTTTGATGTGCAGAAGCTTTTTATTTTGATGTAGTCCCAACAGTTTATTTCTGCTTTTGTTTCCGTTGCCTGAGGAGACCCATCTAGAAAAATGTTGCTATGGTTGATGTCAGAGAAATTATTGCCTGTGCTCTCTCCAAGGATTTTTATCGTTTCAGGTCTCACATTGAGGTCCTTAATCCATTTTGAGAGGTTTTTTTTGGTGTATGGTGAAAGGAAGTGGTCCGGTTTTCTCAACACCATTTGTTGAAGAGACTTTTTCCCATTGGATATGCTTTCCTCCTTTGGTGAAGATTAACTGATCATATATTTGTGGGTTTATTTTTGGGTTTTCTATTCTGTTCCATTGATCTATGTGTCTGTTTTTCTGCCAGTACCATACTGTTTTGATTACTACAGTTTTGCAGTATAAGTTGAAATCTGGAATTGTGATACCTCCAGTTTTGTTTTTCAAGATTGCTTTGGCTATTCAGGGTCTTTTGTGGTTCCATACAAATTTTAGGATTGTTTGTTCCAGTTCTGTGAAAAATGCTGCTGGTATTTTGATAGGGATTGCATTAAATCTGTGGATTGCTTTGGGTAGTATGGACATTTTAACAGTATTTGTTCTTCCAACCATGAGCATGAAATGTCTTTTCATTTCTTTGTGTCGTCTTGAATTTCTTTCATCAATGTTTTATGGTTTTCAGAGTACAGGTCTTTCACCTCCTTGGTTAAGTTTATTCCCAGGTATCTTATTTTTGGTCAATTGTAAATGGGATCGTTTTTCTTAATTTCACTTTCTGCTGCTTCATTATTAGTGTATACGAATGCGGTAGATTTCTGTACACTGATTTTTATATCCTGTGACTTGACTGAATTCATTTATTAGTTCTAGTAGTCTAGTAGCTTTTTGGCACAGTCTCTAGGGTTTTTCACTATATAGTATCATGTCACCTGCAAATAGTGAAAGTTTTAATTCTTCCTTACGGATTTGCATGACTTTTTCTTTTTGTTTTCCGATTACCGTGGCTAGGACTACCAGTAGGATGTTGAATAAAAGTGGTGAAAGAGGACATCCTTGTTCTTGACCTCAGGGAAAAAGTTCTTTTTCCCCATTGGGTATGATGTTAGCTGTGGGTTTTTCATATAAGGCCTTTATTACATTGAGCTATGTTCCCTCTAGACCTACTTTGTTGAGAGTTTTTATTGTGAATGACGATGTGGGGCTTGATCCCAGGACCCTGGGATCATGACCTGAGCTGAAGGCAGATGCTTAACCGACTGAGCCACCCAGGCGCCCCTAACATTTGAATTTTTGATGCAGTTAAAGAAAAGTCTTAATAATGCAGACAACCTAAAACCTCTATTTAGACATCAGTTTGCTTAAGGCCATGAAAATCCACAATACATTTGGCTCGTTTTAATTTAAATTAAATATTTACTTTCCATCATAATTTTTTGAGTAAAGGCGGGACAAACACATTAGTGGGGGAAAAAATCTAACTCACTAATTAGGAAGTATGCTGAGGATTACAAGTTTGAATTTGTATGTGCAGAAAGTCATGTCTCATTTGCCAGATGAGGGAGACATGGTACAAAACAAAGCCTCAAACACCCACCTTGTGCGGAGCTCTTGGAACTCTGCAAGGGTATTATGGAGGGCAAAGGGCTTTTGTGAGCTTGCTTTTACAAAGGTATCTGATGCAACTCAGGAAGCAAGGAAGTGCTAAGCCCAGGCCCTCACAGTTCCGGAAGAGATCTCTTTATTGGCTCCATAGTGATTGCAACAGTGTGTGTTTAGCAGAGGAAATAGAAAAGAAATAGTCCAGATGATGTGATGCTATATCAGGTGAAGTTGGGATGAACAGTATTCCAGAAGATTATTAAATCAGGGATTTTCACTGCAGATTGATAAATCTACAGATATTGGTCATTTTGCTTAGTTAATTATACTAATTGGACGTCCAGAAGACCATTTCCTGGAAGAACATTAGATTTCCTTAGAAAGAAGCATCAGAGCAAGCTACCGAGAATGCTATATTGGAAATGGTAAATGAGCACAAAGTAGACGCAGGAGGCTCTCTGTAAAAGAGCATACCGAGCCTGGAGCTGATGTCACCAGCTCCTCCCGGAAATGCTGAGATTTAGGGAATATGTTGTTATGTTTGCAGAGCAGTTTCTCCACAGGGGTCCTGCTGGTCTGGACCTGATCTTCAAGTGTTCAATCTAAATCAATTTGGGCTGCTCCAGTCTTGTGTTCTTTATGTGAAGAAATAGGTTTCTTTTTGAGGCCTTACACCAAAGTGCATTGCTGTTTAAAGGAAGGGTTTTGTCAAGAAGTGGAGTTAAAAGGAAAAATCTTACAGATAATTCCAATTTGCCATTTGATTAAAGATAGTTTTTTTTAAAGATTTTATTTATTTATTTGACAGAGAGAGACACAGCGAGAGAGGGAACACAAGCAGGGGGGAGTGGGAGAGGGAGCAGCAGACTCCCCGTGGAGCAGGGAGCCTGATACGGGGCTCGATTCCAGGACCCTGGGACCATGACCCGAGCCGAAGGCAGATGCTTAACAACTGAGCCACCTAGGCGCCCCAAGATAGTTATTAATTTTTTTTTTAAAGATTTTATTTATTTGACAGAGACACAGCGAGAGAGGGAACACAAGCAGGGGGAGTGGGAGAGGGAGAAGCAGGCTTCCCGCGGAGCAGGGAGCCCAATGCAGGGCTCGATCGCAGAACCCCGGCATCATGACCTGAGCCGAAGGCAGACGCTTAATGACTGAGCCACCCAGGCGCCCCCAAGATAGTTATTTTAAAAAGGATTTCATGTTGAAAACCTGAATGGACTTAACTGAAAACGTTAACATGTGCTAACAAAGTTTGGATTCTAAGCAAAAATTCAACCAAGAATGAGGTTTTAAATACTTAATCAGTGATGTTTAGCCAGTGTTAGAATTTGAATCCTTGAAATGTAACTGTAGACAAATATAGCAGTATCTGTGTATGAAAGAGGAAAAGCTTTATTTTTAAATACTCGATATAAAAATATTAATTAGTGGGCACCTGGGTGGCTCAGTCGGTTAAGCGTCTGCCCTTGGCTCAGGTCACGATCCCAGGGTCCTGGGATGGAGCCCGCATCAGGCTTCCTGCTCAGTAGGGAGTCTGTTTCTCTTTCTCTCCCTCTGCCCCACCCCACTGCTCATTCTCTCTCTCTCAAATAAATAAATAAAATCTTTAAAAAACATATTAGATTCAAAATCGTCACAGTAGCCAAAAAAAATTCAACATTACATTTGTCACTAAGGGAGAAGCTGTTTTGATTACACACACTTTAAGTAAAACACATATGAGCCATTCAAATTCTTGGTAATGACACTTGCTTCCACCTCTTGTCTGAACAGTTCTCACTAATGGTGACAGCTTGTCTTGAAGAGGTCATTATTTAGAAGTCCTAATAATGGATCCAGCCAAGATCAAGAACTTCTCTCAGAGAATGGATAAGTCAGTTGGAGGAAATAATGATTCTGATAACGCATGACATGCCAAGGAAACTTACAAAGGTCAACTCTTCACAGGACACAGGAAAATGATAAGACTGCATTCTTGTTTAACAATTTAGGACTGATACCAACTACATCAGAAATGACACCAGGCACATTCACTTTGGTGATGGACCACTTAAGCGACACAAAAGATCTGTCCTTTAGATTGGAGTTGAAAATGCAAAAGAGGATTTTGAAAAATATGAAAGGTGTAGAATACAAACCTCCTAAAAACTTTTGTGATATTGTAATATTGCATTGAACATTTTAGAAGAGCTGGGTGCTGAAGATCCCCGGTATTACCTAAATTGTTAAGCCACTAAAATGGATTTGATCCGAGCATCCAGTACTTGTTACATCTCAAGTGATTTTTTTTTTTTTTAAGATTTATTTATTTGACACACAGATCAGAGTGGCAGGCAGAGGAAAGAGGGAGAAGCAGACTCCCCACTGAGCAGGGAGCCCGATGCAGGGGCTCAATCCCAGGACCCCTGGATCATGACCTGGGCCGGAGGCAGCCACCCAACCAGCTGAGCCATCCAGGCACCCTCAAGTGGTTTTCTGAGACCCAAGTTGGATACTTTAGTTGGTTTTCCTATGAAAAACTTGGGTATATTGGAATTCCTAATTAATCCAAATGCAAGTCCTGGCTGCTATAATTTGATTTCTGTTTTCAACCACTGTGGGAGGGTAGGAAGGCACTATTCTGCTTTTGCAAGAAAAAATATGATGAATGGTATTATTTTAATCACTGTAGTGTCTCACCTGCATCTGAAGGCCAAATTGTGTTGAAAGCAGTGTACGTACTCTTCTACCAGAGATTAAGACACAGTAGAACTGGCTTTTCCCCTCCATGAGAATCCCATTAGGAAGTGACGAAGATGGTGGTGGTGATGACCGTGATAGAGAATGAAAACTATGCACCCCAACTAATCCAAGCCCTTGAAGCCATAGAGAAGAGACTTCCCCGCTGGTGGCATTTATTGAAGCCATGAAATTATCTACCACATTAAAACAAGTTTGAGCTAGCAAATGTAAATCCTTCAAGAGATGTTCACTTGTGCAGTATTTGAAGTGAGACACAATGAAAACTTTAATAGAAATGTCTCGTAATTCATTTATAGTCTTGAATTACAAGACTATATTACTTATATCAGAACATAAAAATGTTACGAAAGTTCAGATACCTCATGTAGAAAGGTCAAAAGGACATTTAAAGATTGTATATAAATAACCTTTACTACTTTCCCTTAATGCAATTTATCTATATTTCTGGCCATCAATATCTGATAACAGAGTTTTTTCAGTGAGCTCCAAGCCTCTTCCAGTGTCCCCTAGTGCACAGTCTGGGCAGTGATGGTTACCATGTTACAGACTGTAAAGATGGTTGGCTGGCCTTTCTGGCTCCTTGCAACTATTGAATCTTTACCTGTCTCCTTTCTGGACACTTGCTCTCCACTTGAATTAACCATTCCTCTCTCTGTTCCATGACATTTGGTTGTATTGGTCTTCTGTTAGAGCATTTTGTTAGTGACTTGTATATACAGTTCACCTTTGAGGCATAGGGACCCAGTATCCTCTTGACATCTAGCAGCTGTTACCTAAAAAATCTGTTACTATCATGACTGTCCCAAGGACCATCCAGGGCTTATAATTTTCCTCCTATTCAATATGAGTGGATGCTCACATGTGCCACTGTGTAGAATTTTTGTACAAGGTTGGAAAAATGACTTAATATCAGTTACAGAAAAACCCCAAAACCCAAAACTCCAAACTCATCCCACCCCTCAAATGCAGGAAACTGATCGAACTAGGAAGGAGAGTAGCTTATCAAGGCTTTGGTGCCACCTTGGGGCTATTTGTTGGATTACCAACTGATTTTTGCCTTTTATTTATTCTGAGTGACTTTACTAGTAAATATGAGATTCCTGTGTCCATAATACTTTGTAATTATTTCTAAGAGCTTTTTGATCTATAATTCACATACCATACAGTGCATTCTTTTAAAATATACACAATCCAGTGATTTTTAGTATCTTTAGTTACACAACCATCATCGCAATTTTAGACATTTTCATCACCCTAGAAAGGCCCATCCATACCCTTTGGCTCTTGCTCCCAGTCCATCCATTTTGCCCTGCTTTCTGTCTCTAGAGAATTGCCTATTTTGGGATATTTCTTATATATGGAATAATGCAGTGTGCCATTTTGTGTCTTGCTGCTCTGTTTTCAAGGGTCATATGTGTTGTAGCACGTCTCAGTACTTATTCCTTTTATAAATGAATTTGATAGTCCCTTTGATAGGTATGCCCTAATCTATCCATTCATCAGTCAGACACTTGGGTTTGTTGCCACTTCTTGGCTCTTGTGAACAATGCTCCTATAAATATTTGTGTACAAGTTTTTGAGTGGGTATGTTTTCATTTCCCTTTGGTATATACATAAGAGTGGAATTTCTGGTTCAAATGGTAACCCTATGCTTAACTTTTCAACAAACTGCCAGACTGTTTTTCAAAATGGCTGTGCCATTTTCTATTACCGGCAATACAATGTTCTGACTGTATTTTTGTATATTTCAAGAAAACTTGTAATGATAAAATGCTTTGAATTCAGTAATGTTTTCAATTGTTAAAAATTTAGCAAGTATAGCAGTATGTGCTCACTATAGAAAAAATGCCATGAAATTGAAAATTACTCCACCATCCAGAAATCTAATTGTTCATTTATTTCTAGAATTTATATGTATATACATACATATATTTTAAGTTTTAGGAAAGGATTTTATTACATTTTCCCAGGTCAGTATTGGCAATGTCCTGTGAATTTGTATTTCATTAATTAAAACAGTATCTGAATAAAAAAAAAGGCATTACCTGGTCTGTAAAATGTTTTCTTTACTCTTTGTATCCAGATGGTGTTGGTGTACACCTGGGTTCCCGGTCCCTGCAGACTCTGCAGCCCATAGGCTGCTGGCTTAGCCTTTACTTCTTTCTTACATAAAAAGCTAAATTACTGACAGTTTGGGGTAAGATGGAATGATTTGTTCAATGTAACTTTTTTTTAAAGCACTCACTGAAAATGATCGAGACAGCCAGTCACCATTAAAGAATCCTCTATTGTCGACATCAAGACCCCTGGTTTTTGGGAAGTCAAATGGTATGTACCTCTCTTCATTATCTTCCAGCAGGCACATGCTGCAACCGTTAGCAATTTCACAGCTTAAGAGGACTTACCTAGTTCCCTCTCTCCTGTGAATCAACAGCCCACTGCTTTCAGAGGCCAGAAACCTTTTTAAGTTGCAGTGTCCTGGGTGATGCCCCGCCCCCCACATCTATTCCTCTAGCCTAAGGTTTCAGGAATTCTCTTGTAGCAAGAAGTCACCCAGCCACCACACTCCATGCACAGTCCGTTGTAGATCAAACTCTCTCCAATATATAATCTCTATTTTCAGTTTGTATATGCAATTTGCTTGGTGGAATTGCTCCCTCACCACCTGGTTCTACCGACGTTCCTTTTTGCTTTCACTGAATTTTAGCTTAAAGTTTATATTGTGTTTCCTGTGTCTTCAGGTGATGCAGCTGATTATCAGAAACAGCTGAAGCAAATGATTAAGGATTTAGCCAAAGAAAAAGATAAAACAGATAAAGAGTTGCCCAAAATGAGCCAGGTATGGACTAAGTGCAGAGTTAAAGGTTTTGCCAAATGATTTGTTCAGAGGTAAGCTTGATAGTTGTTAAGCTGGGGCCCCTCAACCTCCAAAGCCATAATCAGAGGATCGTCTAACTTCCAGGAGCTGAATGTTGTGGTGATTAAAAGGGAACTATTTAAATTGTGATCCATTCAGATACACTAGATATTCGAAACTTGTTATTAACAGGAGGCTGTGCCACATCCTATTTTTCAAGTTTTTATATCCTATTCCTCCTATATTCACTTAGGTTGCAATGATTTATTGCCTAGAGTTGATAGCATTTGGGGGTGGGGGGCACTGTGGACACAGCATTCTTCCCTTAGAAGGGATTACTGTTCTCTCCAGTTTCTCAAAAATCATTAGCTATGTAATACACATTACTGATAAGGCTCTTTAAAACCTTTGAGCAGTATCTAGACTACATTGAAATGCCATGATGGGGCTAGGTTTTTATTTGAAAGATTCCTCCCAAAGTTTGTGAAATGTAGTCTTCAAGTTGGAAATGTTCCTTTTATTAAAGGATTTCATTCTTTTTGGTGCTAATGTGTACTGTGAGCCTTCACGAGTGGAATTTAGCATGCAGTGTTTCTTGGTCTTTTTTGACTACAGAATATGTGGCATTAACACTTCCTGGAATATTTCCGAAGTGTTGGGGAGTTTCATGTTTTCATTCTACCTCTTGGATATAGTCACACTGCAATTCTGTTGATCAGTTACACCTCAATTAAAAGAAGTCAAATCTCATCCCCCAGAGCCACCAGTACTAACCTTCTGATATATATGACATCAGTTTTTGCTATGAACAAAAATAGGCTGTCCTAACTAACACCTTGCTTTCATTTACTTCAAAATCATGGAGATCTCTCCTAAATTAGTTCTCAACCATGTCCCTATTCCCAGAGTAAATATATAGCTAAGTCCCACTGGAACTTTCATCACATTATATTCAGATTCTCCCAACTGAGCAGCAGTGTGGCTGTAACTTGAAAAAGCATCAGGCATCACTGTTTTATTTCATTTTACAGCTTTTAGTTACCCCATCGTATTCCTATCAGATGAACAAGCTATAATTTTATTTAGTCCTAGTATTTAAGCTGTTTCTAACTTTGTTCCTATTGTAAATCCTAGATTAAACATCATTATAAACAAGTCTCTCTAGCTTTTGGATCCATTGCTACAGACTGATTTGCTGGATTAAAGGGTACACACCTTTGAGTAGTCGCTGTCTAGACAAATAGCACACTTTGAAGTGTGTGGTGAAAGTCCCTGGGGTCACTGTTAGTAGTATGTTCTCAGAGTAGAAGGGCCAACTGCCTTTTCTTGTAACCTGCTTCTAAGAGTACGATGTGGTTTTCTCTAAGAACTTAGTATGAAGTTTAAAAAAATGCATTTTACTTCCATCCTAGTTATGCTGCTATATGTACTTTTAATTCCAGAGAGAATTTATCCAGTTCTGTAAAACTCTGTACAGTATGTTCCATGAAGATCCAGAAGAAAACAATTTGTATCAAGCCATCGCCACAGTAACCACCCTGCTGCTGCAGATCGGGGAAGTGGGGCAGCGAGGCAGCAGCTCTGGAAGCTGCTCCCAGGAAGGCGGGGAGGAGCTGCGGGCTCCAGCTCTTTCTCCAGAGCAGGACTCGGTTTTTGCAGACACCAGCCCTGGCAAGATTGCCCAGGACTCCCAGACATTTCCTGAAGAGGCAGAAGGGGACTGGACTGTGTCCCTTGAGCATATTTTAGCTTCACTTCTGACTGAACAGTCGTTAGTCAACTTTTTTGAAAAGCCGCTGGACATTAAATCCAAACTTGAAAATGCCAAGATCAATCAGTACAGTCTCAAAACTCTGGAAATGAGCCGCCAATCACAGCCTGAACTCAAGCTGAGTAGCCTGTAGCAAGAGAGCGGGTTGCAGAGACGAGTCTGCCATACCAAAGCATGGAGCAGTTTTGTGAGTTGTCAGCCTTAAAATCCAGATTTTAGTTGAATTCATTCTGAGTGTATTTTACAAGCTGGGTATCTGGATAAGCAACCTGACAGCCACAGCTGTGGCCAGGGGAATTGATGCAACCCTCAAGCATTTCTATTTATTAAAAGAGAATTATTAGTTGGATATTACAGTGCTATAGGGTATCCATACATTAGTTCCCTTGATGCTGTGACTTGCAATTTCACTTTTATCAGATTTGCTGAAATTTCAGGGCACTTCTGCTGTGATGCTAGTTATGACTTCGTTCTCAGATGGAACAGAAGAGTCAAATGTATCATACTAATAAACCACAGACAAAAGCCCAAGCTCTCATTTTTCACTTGGATAATGGGAGAGAGGTCACAAATCAAGTTCACTTTCAAGATCCAAGAGCCACTATCTGTGCAATTGTATTTGGCTTTTTTTGCACTAATTTTGTTTCAATGCTGGTAATTGAAACCATTTTAATATATTTGGTTGTATTCACTTTGTCCTTCCAAAAAAGTTGTGTACAAACCATGCTTTCAACGTTGGCCTCCAAGTTTTTTAATAAATAAATTTTTGTATTGACTTGGTTCTTATAATTGTGTCTTGCCACTCTCCTCCGTGAATTGTGCAATACACGGTAGGTGGTCCTTAACTCCCACTGCTTGTGTACTACCGTCACCCTTGGGGCTTCAAGAGAGGGACCTCTTTAGAGCAGCACTCAGTATGTCAGGGGTGTTAAGAATCCTTACTACACTGCTTTCAGGCTGAACTTAGCTGATTTTTAACCCCCCTCTGAGCTTCAGGTCCATGTAAACTAGGATTAAAAACACTTCAGGGGGCTGTTACAAAAAGGTAAGCTGAACCTATGAATTGTACACTGAAGCCATATATCTGGTTACCCATCAAAAATCAGACTGTTCTATACCTTTTGACAAGCATACTCAACACAGATATAAACAGCTTAGGGACATACTATCAAATACAGTTCATTAAATCTATCAATCAGTTACATCATTTAAATTTGTTCAAATGTGAAAAGTGGCCAATGGTAATTGAGTTCTACATGCCAGTCTCCAGAAAATGTTCCTTAGAATTAACAGTATACCTCCAATGTCCCAGATACCTGAAAGGTTTTCCCAGGCCAGCACATCACCTTTAAAAACATGCTTAGGCTCTACCCAACTACTCAGAAATCCCAGGGGCTGGGGGAAGGGGCACAGGCATGCCATTTAGGAAAAGATCTCCAAACGATCCTATGTAATTGGAACTGCATAGAGATACTACAACTGACTCTCGTACTACATGGGTCCACTTATATGTGGATTTTTTTTTTTGATAGAGTACTGTAAATATATTTTCTCATGATTTAATGTTTTCTCTAGCTTACTTTATTGGTAAATTTTGGGTAGTTGACTATAATCTGTGCCTCTAACCTCCATGTTCTTCAAGAGTCAACTGTATACTGCAACTAAAAAAGGAAAACCAAAACACGAAGCAGTTTTATACCTTTATTTGACAATCAGCGATTAGTTCTCATCCACATTAACTGTCTGTAGATCTGCAAAAGAGACAGCCAGTCAACTTCCATACCCACAACTCACACTTCTAACATTCCAAAAACCTTGTCTTGAAGTGTTTAGGCTAGTATTCCACCTTTTTACAACTCAGATATGGACCTGTTTTGTATCTTCATCCATTGCCCCACAGCCTAACATGAAGGTTTACTGATTATGCCTGTTTTGTATTTCCCTATTAGAAGGATGCTGGGTATATAGATGCACAATTATTTGTTAAGACAGATGAATTTGGGTTCTAAAGGGTAAGGATGCTTTTCTAACGCAAACAGCTTTGTAGGATGGAGTTAAACTTACTTTTGAAAGTGGTGACAGGTACATAGGTAACCAGTGTGTAGAGCTTGTTTGGTGAATCTTCATCCTCGTTACGTTTTCTGGACAACCGCACACGGATACGGTATGGAACATTCCTAATAAAAATATGAACGTGCTGCTTGAGTCAATGCTTCCTATAAGAAAATAGCTGCCAACGGTATTGACGCCTCCTATCCCCACATCTGTAACATGCTTCTAATGCTCTGTCCTTTATGTGAATCTGCTCAGGTGCTACAGGCCCAGTTCCCTGGAAAAAATACACCCCCACAGGTGGACGTTAAATGCTACCATCTCAGGATATATACGGGTCTTAGCGGGCAGCAACCACTGATACTCAATCTACGCAGAAACACAGGCTCAAACCTGCTAGGTCTTTCCCCTCTTATCACCAATACCCCCATCTTGGTTACAGGATTTGTCTAAATTCAATGTAAATTTGCAAAACACCACTCTGCACACTACATTCAACAGAGAAGACTAAAGACTGTTCCGTTCCCCTCCCTCATATACACAAGCCTCTCCTCTCACCAACCACAGCGGCATTACGGTGGCCTATCTCCTTTAATTGGTCTAAGGACACAAAGTGTTCCAAAACTCAGGACTCCTCTCGGCTTTTGTGACACCACTCCCCACCTCCCCCATCATCTTAAGGGACCTCTTTGGCCACTCCTTTATCAGACACATCTCCTCTACAAAGAATGCTCACTGCTAGCATGGTAGGGCTGAATCTCAGGTCTCTCATTCCAGTGATGAAATACCACACAGATGCAGACAGTTATGTGTCCCCCCCACCCTGGCCTCCTAATCACCTAGGTCTACTCCAGCACCTTACATCACCCTCCACAGCAAAAAGCACACCATTTGGCACTACTGACAACTGGGTCGGGGGTGTTGTGGGGGTGCTGCCTCGTGCACCGTGGAATGTATAGCAGAGTCCTTGACCCGTGGGAATCCCCAGGAATGACACCAAAGATGCCCAGCCCCCCCACCAGGGAGGGTGGGCAAAACTGCCCACTCTTAAAAAACCACTGTGCCAATTATTTCCCATTATGTCTAGATGCCACATGGTCTATCCCCTTCCTAACTCTCCATCCTCATTCACTGTTCAAGTCACTTATTCTAGTCCACCTTCACCACCTGTTCCCAGCTCACACCAAATTTGTTCTTCATGCAATGCTCTTACTCAACCCTCACACTGCTGGCTCCTTCATCACCTGGGTTTCCGTTCAAATGCCACGTCAAAGGGCTTCCCTGCAGATGCTACCCCACTCTTTGAGCCATCATCATTTTAAGGAAATACTTTCATATGCATTAGCTAATTACTGAACTTACAGAAACTGTGCAGAGTTGATTTAAAGCTAGTATAATTATAAAAGTTTTCTAAAAAAAATTTATAACAGGGCGCCTGGGTGGCTCAGATGGTTAAGTGTTTGCCTTCGGCTCAGGTCGTGATCCCAGGGTCCTGGCATCGAGTCCCGCATCGGGCTCCCTGCTCCTTAGGAGCCTGCTTCTCCCTCTGCCTCTCTCTCTCTGTCTTTCATGAATAAATAAATAAAATCTTTAAAAAAAAAAAAATTTATAACAAATAATTTTAGCACCTTATTCCTTTGGCCCAGACAGCTTTGTTGAGCCTGGTGTCAATGCGCACATCTGGAGTTCCCATCTCCTTCATGGCAAATTTCCGGATCTCTTTGAGTGCCCGAGGGGCACGCTTCTTGAAACCCCTGAGATTCAAAGTCAATAAATGAATAAGCACAAAATTAAATGAAATATGTAACGCGCTGTCCAATTTTCATAAAACAAAATCTAAACCAAACCTTAAGGTAGGAATAATCCCCTTTTCGACTACTGTATAACGCCCAGCAGCTGATATTAATACTGGGGACACAGAAAATGCACAATCCACTTTCAGTGATGTGGGATAGGAGCTCTGCAGATGATCCTAAAAGATGCTGACAGGATATGCTTGAACATAAAATACACATACTATAAAAGTGTCTTCAGATCAAAATATAGATTGTTATATCTTAAGACATGGCATGTTTTTGAAGATCATTCAATACTAATTCAAAGGTTCATTATTAACTTGGTCTTGGCTAAAACTGTACGCATTTCCTCTTGACAACAGTTAATTCTATGAAGCTGTCGGCATGTGTCAGGCACTGTCATTAACTCACGTCTGTTCCAACTCTTAAGTACTATTAACTTGTTTAAATGAGGGTACATAAATTTATTTGAATTTCATGTTTTTAAACAATGTGAAAAAGCCAAAACTTTGCTACAGGCTGAAATAGTCAAGCATTTGGACAAGTGAAGGCCATTTCCGGGGGTGGGGGAAAGACCCAAGTCTAAAAAGGTGTCCCCACCACCCAGGACTGTGAAGGTCAGAGAAGGGGCCAGGTCAACCATTCACCTCTGTAACCCAATGCAGGGCCCGGCACATACTAGGTGTTCCACTTTTGTTAGATGGAGTGAATTTTATGAAATCCAATAAAAGTAACACACAGAGCATGCTACAGTGACTTAACTCTGGTCTGAAATCTGCAGTGATCTCACATGCCTACGAAAGATGACTGCATTCCCACCCCACTCTGCCTCTTCTCTCACCGTCTCCCCCTCTGCCCTTTGCTCTACCCTCATCAGCCTCCTTGCTATTTTTAGAACCTATCAAACAAGCTCAGTTCATTCACTTCAACACCTGACCATCTAGAAATGCCTGAAATAACAGCAGTAGGTCCAACAGACAAAATCCAGTTATTCAGGTAGCTTATGCAGGTGATACATGGAGTCCATGAGATAGTATCAAGTACTATAGAGAGAAATAAACCAGGGAAGAGAGAGAGCGAACATGAGGGAAAGGGAATTCAGGTTTAAATAAGATGGCTAAGATGATCCTGGAGTTAAGATCTGCAGATCATGACGGCAGCCATTTAGACATCTGTGAGAAAAGCATTCAGGCAGAAGGAAAAAGTAAAAAATAAAACCAGCTACCCTGAATCAGGTACATGCCTGGTATGATTAAGAAAGTAAGTAGCCAGCTCATGTGGAATCAGAGCAAGTTGGGCTTCTAGAATAAGACGGGAAGCCAGGAGGGTTTGAGAATGGACCAGGTGCTTGGGGGTGAAGGAGGGAAAACCAGGAGCAGGGATAACCATTCAAGTGAGAGAGAACAGTGGCGGAACCAGTGCAATTGATAAAACTGTGGAAGGCAGAGCCAAAAGGACATGCTCACTTGACAATGACTAACACAGGGCAAGCCACAAGAGAAATGGGGGGAAGTCAGAAGAAAAGATGAACTCTAGAGTTTGGTTTGCAAGGCCTAAATACCCAAATGAACAGTAGATGTATGTTTGAGGCCCTAAGACCAGTTGCTATTACCAAGCATGGATGGAAAAGAGAGAGTCCTGGGGCTCTTCAACATTAAGAGAATGATGGAAAGAGGATGTAAGGAGGAGGGGTGCCTGGGTGGCACAGTCGGTTAAGCATCTGATTCTTGGTTTTGGATCAGGTCCTGAGATTGAGCCCTGCGTTGGGCTCCATGCTCAGCATGGAGTCTACTTAAGATTCTCTCTCCCTCTGCACCCGCCATGGCTCTCTATCTCTCTCTCAAGTAAATAAATCTTTAATTTAAAAAGAGGATGTGAGGAGGAACCACAAAGTTAGCAGCTACAGGAGCAATAAGAAAAGCAGA